TCGTATGCGTAGTGCCCTAACTTCTGACAGCGATTGCACCTCTGCAATCGCTTGTTGCTTGTAGAGCGAGGTCTCTCGCTCTCAACATAACAGAGGTCCATTGGTTCTGGACCTCCGATCTCTTGTCGTCTCGGTGGACGGTAAGAGTTTGAGCTAGCATGAGCCTGTCTCATGCTAAAGTCTTCCTGTTCCGCGGCTGATATCGCTTCTTCAAGCGTATTCAGCTCAAGGCGGAACAGGTGGCTCCTGACGGGCCCTTCTGCGAGCCCTTGCATGAACACCGTAATCAACGTGTGTTCATGAACTGGGTTTGCAGTTATACTACTCGCAAGGAGTCGTATATGTTGTGCGTAAGCGTGCACATCACGCTTACCCTGCTTGAGTTTCAGGAGCTCTGAACGAGCCCTGAACTCAGCACGTGGCGGCTCAAACGTTTGTCTGAGCCGGGACTTGAAGTCATCTAGCGACCTAAACACGTTTGGGTCGCTACTCTCGAGTCCCAGGGACCAAGTTTTGGCACGCCCTGCCAAGTGGGTCTGAGCAAATGTGAGTTTCATTTGCTCATCTTCGACGCGACGAGCCCTTAGGGCTCTGTCGAGTTCGACAAACCATAGTAACAGGGAGTCCTCCGGGACTCCACTGTACTTGGAGATGTCGACTTTCATCACTTCGGGACGACGCGCATGCGCCGTCCCGCCCACAGCAGCATGGAATTGCTGCTGTCTCAACAGCTCCGTCTGTTGAGCACCGAGTTCTCTCAACTGCTCGGCCTGTTGAGAGCCTTGCTGGTGAAGCAAGGCTACTTTCTCCCTCTCGAGAGCAAGTTCATTGTGAATGAACTTGGCGATAGCAGCATGTTGTTGGTCTCTGTCTAGAGACTCCAACATGGTGCTGACGACGAGTTCGCCTACGGTAGAACTCATTCGTTCTACCGCACCCCATTCGATGTCACTCAAATGGGTAAACCCTTCACGCGTGGCGTGAAAGGTGTCTTCTTCATCCAACATGTTCATGTTGGATGATGTGGTCCTTGGAAGGACTACAAAGTGCTACCAGGTGTAACGGGGCACACCCTTGCGTAACTTAACGCAAGGGATTTGGGTGCCCCGACGGACGTACACGTGGCGAGCGAGGAAGCGTAGGTAGGGTAAAAGTAGAACTGTTATATTAATAAATTAAGTCTTTAAACTACTGTCTCTTCGTTTGACTTAATTCAATTATACTAATATAACTGCATGTATGGTGACGTCTCGTCACCACTCATTGCGCGCGTCTTGCGGCGATTGGTGGGTTGATATCATCACGATATCAACCAATGAACAGACCCTTCTGGTCGACCCTTCAATATCACCGCTTCGGTGATATTGTTTAAAGAATATCCATCTTTATATTCTTTATTGTCACTTTCCTTAAGTGACAATATTATGTAACGGGCTGCCCCGTTACAGTTGCTACATGCCTCTTTCCTCGAATTGTTTGACGTTGTCTACAGCAATGACGTCCTCATTGAGGCACGTGATATTATACTGTAGCGTTCGCAAGCAAGGAATCCAACCACTACTCAAAACACACCACACCCTCGGAAAGCGCTGGCGCTTGTCTGCTTGCACAGTGTGTGAGAAATTCGTTGCGACGGTACAGCTCGTAGCGCTCTACGACACAGTACCATGCACTACGCAAACGTGATACTCGGAGGTGAGCTCGTTACCGTGCGCCAAACTACGCCTGGCGTCGGTTTCAACGCGGGGATTGCCCCATACGATCGTGTGCTGCCGTTTGGTGCTGCATTAATCTACAAGCGAGGCAGCATCCCGTCCGAACCTTGAAACAACGAAGCGGCTGCTAGTACACAGCTGTCTGGACGCGTAGACCGCGAATGAATCGAGTACGCTTCCGTGAAGAAGCAGATAGAAAACGTCCGGCAAGCTGCTGCTAAGTGCAGAGTTCTCTACTTCTCTCCACCAACTTTTTAATGTTAAGGTAGCGCATGGATGGCACTCTGCGGATGAACGCCAAAGTCTCCTCTGTGGACGCGTAAGCTGAACGCGCATTGTGTGTTGACTCACGACACGCACCCGGCAGCTGTGCTCTACTTGCTCGTTCGACCGGCGACGAATCTTAGCTCGGTTGCCAGCGACAGAATGAGGTAGTATACGTTTCCGTCAAATGGATAGCGGTAGTGAACGAAGTCGTGTAGAAGACTTGTTGACCATTGCAATCGGAATGGCTGTATGAAGCAAGTAGCATATGCGATCGACAGAATGTTGGATCGACCCGTGACATTGCTTGTGCATTCGCTGGGATGCACGATGCAGCGCAGTGTACACTTCAGCATACGAGGCACGTCTTCGCTGTACGTCGCCGAACTGTTCATCACGATGGCACTCTCGATCAACCGATGCTCGTGTACTCTACAAATGACTTGGCGAAGCGTAGGCACATTCGCACACAAACGTCGCATGTATACGCAGGCGGATTATTGAGGATAGAAATACTGGACAAGACGTCCTTCTGTCGTATGTGGGTACGCTAGTGCAGCGCCCACAAGTCGGCGCACACTAGTTACAACACGACTGCATGAGCCGGTATGAACACGACACGTTGAGTTATCACGTGAACGTCACGGCATCGTCGTACGCTGATGTTCAGTACGGCGCTCCTGGACCAGGAGCTGGTCATACCTGTAGGTACACGTAGACGACGAGAGAAGACGGGGGGGAGCTGTTTGTCGGCTACTGACCTGGAAACCGACATCATCATTCGACGTTGGAAAGCGAGACGGAATACACGACGACGGGCCTTCGGGGGGAGGGAGACTAGCCCATGATCGATAAACAACCAGGTCGGTCTCGCTCTGACTGGGTACGAACACGACAAACGATCAGGTCAGGACGAGCAAGTGATAGCTGCTGTAGTGTTGCTGCGTCAATACAACCGAAAGGCTTCTCGACATTGCGGACGAACGCTTCATACAAAAGCGATAACGCAGCCGTCCGACCGTAGCGCGAGGTAGGATTACCGACATGGTCCGTGTCGTTACCCTCTCAATCGCCCCTTCAGACGTCTTTGTCAGTCTGGTAGATAAGTAAGTGTCGCGTCGCTTGTGTGCGCCATACCGAAGCTAATCACTTGCTGCACTATCGTTCAGAGCGCAACACATTTAGGGCTCCATTCTCTTTATTACTCTTCTACAGTTAGCAGCAGCGCTTGCAGAGCTACCGGGCCTTGTCGAGCGCCGCTTTATCCAGCTGCTGACGGGCCTTCCTACAAACTGCTTGAATGGAGACGTGAAACGAGCGTCATTGACATTATCTCTTCTGGTCGTCAGAAATTGCGATGCAGTGGTGCACGACGAGGAACGGTGAGCGTCATGGATATGAAGTTATGGTGCGTGTGATCGACAGCGCGACTGATCGTCCAACCAGGACTTGCAAACTCCGTTGCGTAGAAAAGAGATGCCATAAAACCACAGCAAAGGCTTTCGGCATCGCTTGAAGGAAGCGAGGAGCTCTACAATGTTACACTTGCTTCCTTGCTCACCTTGTCAGACACCTTGCGTGTGACAATGCCAAGCTCTTTACACGCATGTCTCGAGGCATCCGAAGAACTCGTCAAAGCCGATTGCTACTGGTGACACGTGCCTCAATCGGTCTTGTGTCCAAGACCGATTGTCATCACAACGACATGCGCTGAAAAAAGGTGACCAGGTGGCTGGTTGCTTGCTGTGGACGTGCTTACGCTATGATGCAGGTCTCCAGTACTGACGCCTCACACCTTTCAGCACCTCTTGCGGTGCTGGCGACTACGAAAAAGCGACTGCGCTATCTACGGTGTCGGCTGTCACATTACACAGAATCCTTTGGAAGTAGTCACAGCGACACGGTAGTTGATGACGAGAGGAGAAGGACCATCTAGTGTCGAAACCTCCCAGCGCACCTGCCGTCGAATCAGTAAACTATCAAGCGACAAGAAGGCTATGGTGGCATCAACAGTGAGAGCAACGAATAGGTCAACATCCTTTCCAAGGAATTCGTTCTGGTTCAATCAGCTACAAGTGACCCCACATCTCTCTCTCGCTCTCGCAGAGACCAGATAAACTGCAACCAACGAATTCACACGCCAAAGCACTGGCCACGAGTCCAGCCAAAGCTTCCACGCTCCTCATCCATACGTCTGAATCAGCTTACAAGCCAAGTTTGGTGCGGCGCCAGTGACGGCGTTTAGCATTGTACCTACAACAAACGCCACAATAACAACAAAATGCCGTTCGTGTCAGCAAATGCATCCACTCGATTCGACGATTGCTGGCAACACTAGCAGACGCACTTGATCGTGTTGTCAGTACGTAGACGAATCCACTGTGGGATCGGTCGGTTCTGCTTGGCCTTCTTGGCGAGAATACGCTTCGTGCGGAAAGTCTTGTGCGACGGCTGCAGCGATAAGAGAGGAACCGGTCGAGTGAGTCAACGTGATCGTACAGACCTTTTCGTTAAGTGTCTCGACTGGGAGCGATGCAACGTCCAGACAAGCGCGTAGTAGGCAGGACATATGCCGCCAGTCACGGAGGTGACCCGTATCGCTTTGCCCCATGAACTCCATTGCCTCTAGTCGTGCCAACACGCACACACACACACAAAACCACACACAAGAAACCCCACGCACCATTTTAAAAGGATGTGATGCAGACTGACGCCGAAGACACACTTGACGCAACGCCTGCCAGCCAGCCATTCGATTCGCAGGGAGTCGTAATTACGTCGTGGTCGAGCTATCGTTTTTACGCCCTCGGTTTCGTCTGTGCGCCACACCAATGTCGCACTTCTCCAAGTCTGTCTGTCTGTCTGTCTCTTGACACGAGCAACTAACTCTCCAGCGGTCTCAAAACATCCACTTGCGGGGTCGCCCGTTTTATGACCACCACGATTTTATCCACTGGATACGGTCGCGCGCTTGACACGCGTGAGTGGCTGTACCCATTTGCGTACCCATCACGTAATCACATGGCGTCCGACGCGCGCGCGTCGCCGCTGCATGCCGCCGACACACTCGGCGTTGCACCCGCTGCCCTCGCGTCGCAGTCGTTCATGTCTGACTCGCAGCTCACGTCCGATCGATCGCTAGTCAGCACGGGCGACTCGGTGTTCTCCGTCGCGCCGTCGCCGCTCTACTCGCCGCAGCAGGCGGATGCTCGACGGATACCTTCAGACGACATTTCGGCCCCTCGCCCGGCGCCCCACCCCGCGTCGCTTGTCAAGACTGTGGTCCAGCAGTTTCGTGCAGTGTACAAACCGGCCACAAGCACGGGGCGCAATGTCACAAACGAGGTGAATCATACTGGCGATAGTGACCAAAGCCGCCCCCACTTGGACGCAACGCACAGAACAATCGAGCCAAGAGAAGCGAGTGGACCTGACGATTTCGACGCGGGTCTGCGGTCGCAGCGCACGAAGCGGAGGGACGACAGCAAGACGTCGAACACGTGCAGCTCGTTCAGTACGCGGGACACGGTCGTGTCTCGCATGTCGTCGAACGTTGGGGGCTTGCGCGAGAGTTTCTTTGGGGCAATGGGGCGCGCGTCGACGGGAAAATGCGACCCGCTGCAGCTGTCGCCCAATCAAGAGTTTGACTTGGACGTCATTGACGAGAGTGGCGGGATGGACGAGACGATTGGACAGATCTTGAAGCCACAGATGGACTTTCGGAAGTGGTCGAAAGAAACGTACGCGGTGCTCAGCTTTGGCCTTGTGCTGCTGCTGCTTTTGCTCGTGCTGGCGCTCACGGTCAACACGCTCGACGGCTACGTCATTGACCCGGGACTCGTCTTTGGCTCGTTGCTCACGCTCATTCTCTGTGCCTGTGTCTTTGTGACGTACCATGGCGTGCAGAGCTTTCAGCGACATCCGAACCCTCTCATTTATTACAAGTGTGTGATCGACATGTGCTTGGCACTTCGCTTCCTGCTGGACCCGTTGCTACTAGAGATGGGACTGTATAGAGTGAACGACGAACGATCGTGTGCCTATCTATCAGGCATGACGCAATTTTTGTATCTGTCCAGCGAATGCTGGTACTTTGCACAGATCGTTGACATGTACTGGTCGCTCACGAATCCATTTATGAGTGTCAAGGTCAATCGCAAACGATTCAGGATTGCCGTGTACTCGGTTGGAGCGTTTTCGGGCACTTTCTTAGCGCTGATGCCGAGTATTCATGGCATTGCCGATGGAAACTTTTGCTGGACGAAACGGAAAACCTCCAGTGATCCTGTAGAACGAGACTTTTTCCACCTCAACTCGGGCAGCTGGCTGTTGTTTTACATTTGGATGATCTTGTTCTACATCTCGGGCATCACGGTGCTGATGTTCGGAATCAAACGGCTTCGTTCGGGACTGCGTGATACGCTTCAGAGTCGGCGGGAGCTGCTGCGGAACGGTGCTCTGTCAATTACGAGCTACACAGTCTACTGGACCATTGTGTTCATGTGGTACGCGCTTTCGTTTCAGAGGCGAACGACGTACGACAAGAACGGCCACTTTCCGCCCAGTCACGTGTTCCGGGCCTTTACCTTCACACTATCGGCTCGTGGGACTGTCGATTACTTTGTGTGGTTCATGGTCAATAGTCCGAGTCAAATTCGAGAGAAGTGGCTCAAGTTCACGTCAGATTCGGTGGACAAGCAGTTCAGCGCGCAGCTTAACACGGCACTGCAAGAAGAGCTGATCTATTTTACTATTGAAGGCATGACACGCGCGGTGCAGATCGCAGATGAGGAACTTGCTCGCATTCGCGATCAGTCTCCGATACGAGAAGAAGAGACGAGTATGGACGACGATGACGACGACAGCAGTTCGACGCAGGTTCCAGGTGAAGCTGCAACAACCGCCACGGGTCTTTGTGGATCAGATAATTGCAGTGACTCGCTTGAAGGCGCACAAAGGAAGCGATTGGTTACTAGTATACAACAAGTGATTAGCGCTGGGCTCCGTCGGACTAGCAGTGCCGTTGCAGAAGTACGAGCTGCAGCGAGGAGGAACAGCGAGGAAACCGCCTTCAGTTTTGATATTCCTGCAGACCAGCGGGCCGTACACCAGCCGTCCAAACCAAATCATCGTGCTGGCATTCCTTCGTCGACTTCGACGAGTGCACGGTCGGCTGATTTGCGTCCGCGAGATGGTGGTCCAGGCACGACGCCTGCATCCATTCGACTCACGCCATATAAGCCGCTGGCATTCGCAGAGCTTCGCCAAGTTCACGGAATCAAGGCAGCTGACTTTGTGAAGTCTTTTCAGACCAGCACGAAGCCCAACATCAGTGAAGGTGCGAGTGGCGCGTTCATGTTTTTCAGTGGTGACAAGAAGTATATCGTCAAGTCCATGGCCGAAGAAGAAGCACGCTTTCTGTGCGAGATCGCAGAGAGCTACGCCAAGTACTTGACTCGGAATCCTTTGTCGCTCATTACGAAGTTTTACGGCTGTTTCAAGATCACCATGTTCGACAAGCGCTTTTACTTCATTGTCATGGAAAACCTGTTTGACGTCATGGAGGAGGGCGTGCAAATTCACCATCGGTTTGATATCAAGGGCTCGTGGGTGAACCGGAGCTACAAGCGCCCGCGTCGGGGGGCTAAGGTCAAATGCCGCCATTGCTCAATGATGTTTCGGTACGGCGCGAAGAAAGGATTGCTACAGTGCCCCAATGTCGTTGGCCTTCACGAACCGAATGTCGTGTTGAAAGACAACGACTTGCGCACGAGGATGCGGATCGGGATGGAGGAAGGCATCAAACTGTACGAGCAACTGCGCGATGACTCTACCTTCCTGTGTAATCTCGGCATCATGGACTACAGTCTGCTTCTCGGTGTCATGGATATCGAGTTTGTCGTGGACCAACCGTCTCGGCCCCTCGCGAGCTCGCTCTTGAGCGACCACAGTGCCGCGAGTTTAGGTACCGCTAACGCAGAGACGGATGCCGAAAGGGACTCGTACGTCTACAGCGGGACGGACGACAGTTTCGTCTCGGCGTCGTCTTCGAATTGGTCCTCATCGTCTCGAAGCTCGGCTGGTCGATCGTCCACGAACAGGAACGTTGTCGACGAAACAGCGACGATGACGACGACGACGACGCCCGTGCCGGACAAGCTCAATTTGTCTGTCGCGCCGAGTGTGCACTCGCTCTGGCAGCAGCCCACAGACCCGTTGAACCAGCCGCGAGATCCTCGAGCAGGTGGCGAACCCCGACCGAAGCTCTCCATGCGGAAAAGTCAGCGCGTGTTTGGCCCTGGATACTACTACGTTGGCATCATTGACATCCTACAGACTTGGACGGTCCAGAAGCAGCTCGAGCGGTTTTTCAAGGTGAGGATTCAGCAAAAAGACGGCGAAGGGCTGTCGGCCGTTGACCCCGTGCAGTACCAGCGGCGGTTCGAGTCCAAGTTGCGCGAGATCATTGCCGTGCCAAGCGAGTATTGCCACCCCCGCGAGCACCACGAGCGACACAGTCGGCCCAAGAGGATCACCACGTTCAAGTCGGTGCAGCGCCTCAGTCCCGTCCTGCAAGCTGCTGCGGCGTTCGAGAGCGCGGCAGCCGCTGCCCAAGAAGCGAGGCGAGCGACGGTGGCCCGGGACCGAGGAGACTCGACCGACACGCAGGCGTCGTCGGGCGCGAGCGCGAATGACTTGGAGCGCACGAGTCGGAACCCCGAGCCCATCTTGCTGCCGTTCAACCAGCGCCTGATCTCGACCAAGTCGTCGCGGAGCCACTTGCACGTTGTGGCAGACGGGGCCGCGGGCAGCAGTAATGGCCCCGCGCCGTGATCTTGTGCATAGAACGGATCTCCTCGTCCAGCGTAGCGAGCAGAGTCGGTGCACGGGCGTTGCTGGGGGTCTGTCACGCGCGACAACGAGCCAAAGAGCCGGGGGGGGGCTACTGTCGAGACGGCGGAGAGAGACACTCGGGAGCCATTGGGGGGCGCGTCGCGTCGCGTCTTTGCCGCGGGTCGACCACCGGAACGGGAAGCGACCACGACCACCCGTTGCGTCCAGTGCGTGATGACGCTCGGACCGCTGTCGAGTGGGTCACGCGACCCCATCGCAGCAGCTGCGGACGGTATGACGACGACGACAGAGAAGAAGAAGAAGATAAAAGCGCAGCTGGACGAGAGAGAGATCGATGAGAGAGCAATGAGAGAGAGAGAGAGAGAGCGCGCGTGTAAAAGCAGCTGCAGACGTCACGCAGGGAGTCGTGCGCTCGAACACGTGCTACGGCTCCTGTTGTGGTCGTTTGCGCGCGCTCTCTCTCTCTCTCTCTCTCGGGTCGTCCAGCGGCTGTTTCAGGGGGAGGAGGGGCCGGTTTCTGTCCCGTCGTCCCGCCCCCTACTTCGACGCCGAGCAGCCGGTCCAGCCGCCCCCTCCCCCCCCACCCCCCTGCGCTCGTCCCGCGAGTGCCACTGTCCCTCCCACGGGGCGTCGTGGACAGACAGCCCGTGCGCTCGTCCCCATGTGGCGCGCGTCGCGCCTCCCGACAACGACACTGACAAAAGTGACTTTACTCGCGACCGGAGCGGCGGCAGTTGTCGACGCTGCTGCATTTGCTGGACGACCGCCGGCACAGGAAGACGGCAGTCGTTGCCGCAGCACAGCGCGGTCCGTCGTACAACGCACTCGAGACCGTCGCAGCTATTGCAGTCACCGCCTGTCCGTCTTTGCTCGCGCGGCCGTCGGGACCCATGTCGACCGGGGCGTCGGTCCGGCGCAAGCGTCGCGTGACGTTCCAGAACGTGTACACGCCCGCCGTCGTGCCGCCGCGGCAGGTCGAGAGCTACGACGACCTCGTGTTCCAAGTGGCCGGGCTGTTCCACACGACGTCGTTCCTGCACGACGTCGACGCCGCGTGGGGCGACGACGCGGACGACGACGACGAGTTGACGACCAGCCGCTCGTCCGGCGACGACGGCCCGGGCGGCCGCGACGACGCGTTCGACCCGACGCTCGAGCGGTCGGTGCCGCTCATGATCGCCGAGTTCCTCTACCGCTCGGCCATGTACTTGGGCCACCCGCGCGGGGACCGGCCGTGGCTGCCTGGCTTTCGACAGGACAAGCGCTTCTCGGGCAACGACGTCAAGCGGTGGCGCCGGCTCGCGCACTTTGACTGGGACGCGGAAGAGCGCGCGTTCCGGCGGCATCACGTTCGCGCCGACGCGCGTGGAGCGCACGGGCCGAGTCGCACGCTGTCGGTCGAGTCGAATGGCCACACGTCGATGCTGTCGACACTGGGCGCGAGTTTCCACGGCCGCCGACGGAGCAGTTGCAGTCGCAGTGCTTTGGCGGATGGCGAGGCGGACGCGCGAGGGCCCGAAGCCAGTCACGGGCGGAAGAAGGACATGCTGACGCTCCGCAGTACCGTGAGCAGCTGGATCCGGAAACACCGGCGGCCGTTGTTTGGCCACGAGGACAAGGAGGACAAGACAACGGGTCTGCTGTCGTCGTCGTCGTCGTCGTCGTCGTGTTTGCCGACGATAGGAGCAACAACAACAGCAGCAGCAGCAGCCGATGTGCTCGAGCGAGACGCCGAGACGGACGACGGCAAAGGCAAGAAAAAGAGGAAGCGCAAGCCCGTGTCGTGGCTCCACCCGCCGCCCGTGTCGTCGTCACGGGACCTGCGGCTGGTGGTGGACATTATCAACTCGTGCGTCTACTGCGGCGAGTTTCGCTTCCGGAAGCGCGACATTGTGCGTCTTTGCAACGTCCGAATTTAGCCGACGAGAAGGTTTGGGACGATCGATGGACGTGCGGTCCGCGTGCTCGTGATGTCAAGAAGGACGGAGAGACGATGGAGAGACGGATCGATGGATCGGTGATGGATCGATGGGTCGATGATGGAGGATATGGACCGGTGGTGGAGGATATGGAGGATATGGACCGATGATGGAGGATTGGAGAGCAGGACAGACAGACAGACAGAGAGAGAGAGAGATGGGGAGGAAGCAAGCAAGGAAGCTAACTATAGGAGGTGAAGAAGACGAGCGATTGGAACTCGATGCGGGACAAGTAACGCCAGTGTCTCTGCTTGTTTTTTTTTTGTGGCATGAAAATCACACTGCCTTATCATTATACCGCGTCTCTTGATCCGCTTTGGTCTTCTCGATTGCTGCTTCGTTTTGCTCCGTTCATTGACTTGTACACCCATCTGAATAAAAAATCTGCTCGAGGCGCTCACACTTGCACGCAGCACACGGCCTACTTAGATCCAGCCGTCCTCTTCGACGATAAACTCGAGACGCACCAAATCGCTCACTTCGTCCGGCGTGAACAGCACTTCGCCAAAGTTCACGCAGTAGTTGACCACGTCGCACAGCTTGGCAAACTTCATGTTGGACGGCACGTCCAGCACTTCGACGTCGTCGCCCTCGCCCTCAGGCTTCTCCTCAACTATTTTCTGGCTCAATGACCGGTGGAACGCCACACTGAGCAGTTTCCGGTGGCCCAGGGACCGCTGGCTGTCACTATCGCTGTCCGTGCCTTCCGTCACCGACGAGCTCGTGCACGACGACGGCGCTTCAACGTCCTTGCCCTTCACACCCAAAGCAGCAGCCGCTTGTGTCGTCGTCACCTCCTCCAGTGTCCAGTCGTGCAGCGCCAACCGACGCCACATGCGGATCTCTCCGTTTGAAATGTTCACCACGTTGCCGTGCTTGGTGCGTGAGCCATGCAGAAACGCCATCGAGCGTTCGAGAAACTCCTGCACTTTTGTTGTCGTCGGTCGCTGGTCGTGAGCGGCAAACTTGCACACGCGCACGAGCACGTCGTCGTAGCTCTCCACTGCCGTGTACGCGCCCGCTGCACCGTCGCTGGCATCGGACGCAACCACTGTCAGCTTGGAGCTGAACCGCGTGCGCCTGGTACCCCGAGACGACGACACGTCCTCCGTAGACGATGCAGGCGACGGCACCTTCTCTTCCGAGATCGAGCGACGCTGCAGCTCAGCAGCCTTGGCTTTCTCAGCTGCCAATGCAAACTTCCGTGCCTCTGAGCTGCGCGAAAAGCTCGTGCGGTCCTTCTGCAGGTCCAGATCAATGTTCCCACGTCCGCCAATGAGTCGCGCTTGGATCGGTAGCTTGCGCCAAATCTTGGCAATCAGGTGCGTCGGCGCCTGTTCCATAAAGTCCATACTCTGCGAGCGGCGGTCGAGTCCGCGCGACGGCCGTTTGGTGTTCTCATAATCGTCGTCACTGTCCGAGTCCCACGTGGGCGCATGAGGCCGGACAATCTCCTGCCCGTCCTTCGTGTACAGCTCTTGCTCGTCTCGCGTTGGCTCGAGGTTAAACTCCTCCCGCTCCTGCTGTTTCTTCTTCCTCGATGACGACAGGAACGACAGCGACCTGCCCCGTTCTTTCGTCCTTGACGTCGTCTTCTTGGGAGAGTACACGATACTGTCGAGAATACCTGTGCCAGTACCACCGCCACAACTCTCGTCCCGCGCCGTGAGACTCGAGATCGCGCTCGAGCTCGACTGGTACGTGCTTGGCGCTGTCTTGACTGCACCAAAGCTCGTCAGATGGTGACTATTGCCTCCACCGGCAGTAGCACCAGTGCACACGTTCAGCGTCCGTCCCGCAGCAGTAGCCGACGTCTTGACGCTCGACTGCAGCTGGAACCGGCCCCGCGTGCACGACGACAGCCGCGCCCCACCAGCACTGACGCTCCGCCCGCCCAGTTTCGGCGGCAACTGCGCCGACAGCTCAAACGGCGGAGGCGCAGCACAAGAAGGCGTCGTTGTTGTCGTTGTTGTTGTCGTCGACGATGACAGAAACGACGACAAGCTTCGAGGATTGGGTTTGTAGCCACGGCAGCTCCTTGTCTGGCCTTCGTCTCCGTTGATCCCGTGCTCGCTGTTGAGCGGTGTCTTCTTGCTGCCAAAGAACGTGCTGCTGCAGCTGCTATTGCTGCGACCGCGACTGGACGCCGAGCTGAATGCCTGATGCAGCGTCTGCGTCAGCGACGGCCGCGCTGGCGCGTGGTCGCGGTCGTCGGCCGTGTGCTTCGCGCGCGGCGTTGCGGCCGTCGCCCCGTAGGGCAGCGACATGACAACCGGCGGCGTCGACTCGCACACTGCACGCGGCAGCTCGTGGCGGTCTTTTTTCCACGTCGAGAACGAGAAACTCGACGGGCGCGTCTTTGCCTTCCTCCGCTCCTTCTTCTCCTCCCCCTTCTCCTTCTTCTCCTCGTCCTTCTCCTTTTTCTTCTGCTTCTTCTTCTTCTTCTTCATCGCCAACGCCGACAACGACAGTCGCTCGTGCGCCGCGTCACTGCTGTGGCGACTGCTGCTGCTGCTATTGCTGCTGCTATTGCTGTTGCTGCTGCTGCGACACGAGAGGTCCGCGTCGAGCGCGACGGCACTCACGCGACTGGAAAACGACAGACTCGACGGCCGGTGCGCGCCGGGAAAGATCTTTTTCATGCCCGTGTACATGTCTTTGGCCTGCTGCGACATGGTCCGTCCACAGCACCACACACACAGACAGACACGCAGACAGACACGCAGACAGACACAGACACAGAGACGGCCACACCCACAGACACAGAGAGGGGGAGCGAGCGAGCGAGCGACGGCCTGCAGACGGTACGTGTGGGGCGGCGCCAGTCCCTCGACGGCTCGCGACGCGTTTATTGCTTGGGCTCCGTGTGCCGCTTCGGAATATGGGGAGGAAAAGCGCACCGCCCGCCCGCCCGCCGAACGGGAAGGCGCTTTTCGAGGGGCTGTGGCCGTGGGGCGCAAAACGCGGTGGACGAGGCGCGACGGCAGTGACAAAACACGGTGCACCGAGCGATGCAATCGGGTTCGAAGGCTGGGCGACGACTGGACCGTGTTTTGGCACGTGGCCGACCAAACCAAAGGGGGCGCGCAGCGGGTGCCCCAGCTGGCAAAGAGCTGGTCGTACGGGCTTTTGCGACAGCTGCATGTCGCAGGCGCGAGAGCCGGCCTGTGATTGGTCGAAATGCCCGTCCGCGCGGCCTCGTGGCGGACAGTGGCACCTGCAGCTGGCGCGCGTGGTACCAGCTGGGAAAAGTCCCCACACCCTCTCAGGCCCCTCGTGCCGTGCGGCCTGTTTCTGTTCGTCCCAAGGTCAGCCGTCCCGACGCTTCCCTTGAGGCGACAACGACAACGACAACGACGAGGGGAGCGGTCGGTGCTGGACGTCACTGCGCTGTCGCAATTGCGGCGAGTGCGGACGCGGCATCTGATTGGCGCAAAAGCGATCGAAAAGGACTGACTCTCTCGCACGTTCTGCTATTGTAGAAAACCTGGGGGTCGTGGGTAGGGCATAACATGGCTACGCTTTTTTTGCCACGAGAGACCCGTTTTGCGTGTTGGCTCTTTCCTTTCTCCGTCGTGCAAAGGAGTGGGGCGAGCGCGCATGCTGTTTCACTAAAGTAGGTAGGTGGGATCATTGCACCGTGTTTTGCTTGCTGGTTGCTCGTTCTGGGGGGACGCGAGACAATGTGGCGAAAAGAAAAGCGAGCGACAGCGCTGCTGGTGAAATGCATGTGGGGGAGTAAAAGCTGCGAAAACGCTGAAAAGGAACTCGTGAAAACAGGATAAGAGCGCGCAAAGACGAGCGATTGTGCATTGGATCGAGCAGTGCAGCGAAATGGACCGACGATGATGATACGTCGAGACGCGTTAAGACCGGGCGAGCGATACTTCGCAGCCATTGAAAAGGTGAGAGGGCAGACAGTATAGAAGCGCGCACCTATACGGTAGTACACGACATATGCGGGACCACATATCCACGACGTCATGTCTTGACTCGATCTCGACATGTCGACTCTCTGGCTTTCTCCCATGGCTGCGACCACTCTACCAGCCACGACCTGCAGATGCCCATACTACAGCTATCGACAAGCGATGCAGGTAGGAGGAAGCGAGTGGAACTGGTCCGCATCTCTGCCGTCAGCTGCTGCTCGATCGTGTCACACGTACATCACCAGTCCATCGTCCACGAGCTCCATTACTCACAGATAGTCACACACGCACTGCAACACAGCTGCTGTCGACACATTGGAGAAAGAATGCCTCGTATATTATGGCATACAAAGCTGTCCAGCGACACCACGACGTCGGATCGGACGAGCGCGCTTCAATCAGTCGGGCACGCTCAACGTCGTCAGCCACGCTCGGCCACTGCCATCGCAGACGGATCCACAAGCAGTCAGTCTAGTCTAGACCAGTAGCTGCCACCACCGAGTCAACGTCAGACTGGTGCGACCACGCACAACTGCAGCCTATACGCGCTTGGGTGCAAAGCGGCGCGGGGGCGGGGCACGGCTCTTGCGGGCCTCGACCGAGCGACCACGCACAATACGCTGGTGGATCGCAGCTTCCACGCAGTAGTAGTTCTTGATGTAAATCTTGGGCAAAGCATACGACTCGTACACGGACGCTTCCTTGAGGTCACGGATAGCCGACTGGTCCACAATGTTGCTACAATAGTGATACACACCACCCACCCACACACCCACACACACACGCGCATTGTTAGGTTCCGCTCAAGAGAGCTCGAGTCCGCGTGCTCGAAACGATCGGGACGGGGGCAGTGGATGCACACAAACGAGCGCGACGTACCGCACGACGAAGCGCTTGATCGCCTTGTCCTTGGGGATGAGCTTGGCCGTGGACACGCAGTGCACGCGCTTCACGTGGCCGCGGCCCTTTTTGTTCCGTCCATGGTTCCGGCGCTTGACAGTCATGATCGCTCCGTGCTTTTCTCCAAATTGATTCAGCCACTGGCGCCCCGCGAAGCGCTGGCTGCCACCACTTTGGTCGTCGACGGTGATTGGACGCTGGGCGGCGAATCACAGCGTGGGCACAGCCCCATCGCGTCTGGTGTCGAAGCGAGGACGGCACTCGAGCGAGGGAACAACAGACCGCACCGAGCTACACAGAGCGGTAAGTGGGTTTCGGTACCTTGTTGGGTCCCAGGACTGACGAGTGCAATGGATTGGCGTCGTGTCGATTGGAACGTGTACGTCAGGCAATGGACAATGGACACTGTGTGTATGTATATATGCATGTATGTATGCACTGCAAAAGCTCAAGCAAGACTTGTTTATTGTTCAGTGGCTAGAGACGTCGTCGTGTGCGTCGTGGTAGTCGCAGTAGACAGTATCAGTGCTCCTCGACGGCTGATACACGTCCAGGCGGCGAGCACCGCTCTTGTCCAGTCGTGCACACGTGCTGGCGATGCTGTAAGACGCACGAATGCCGCCAGTTGATTCCGTCTGCGTGCAACCGATGGACAGTCGCTACTTCAGGTGCTTCATGATCTGAGGGACGGACTGCAGAGACACAGCAATGACATGACAGCGATAGCCGAACATCAGACAACAGACAGGCAACAATGGATCGATCGGTAGACAGAGAAGCACGAGTCGTGCAGCTCCAGGCAAACACGTACGCATTTGTCAATGCAGTGCAGATAGTCAAAGTACTGGCCGTCGCACGAGCCAACGCCCTTGGCCTTGACACGGTCGAGACAGGCCTGGTAGGCGGCAAACGACTGCTTGCACTTGGGCTCGCACGCCTTGCGAATGCCAGGCATCACGTCGACAGGCTCTTCATCCGACTTGTTGACCGCAGCGCAACAGATACAAAGACAGACAGCGGTAGAGACAGAGACAGAGACGGACAGTTAGACAGACAGGTAGACAGAGACAGATACGGACAGTTAGACAGACAGGTAGACATGGATACCGAGATACAGAGGGTGAGCGACCGCGCGTTTGCAAGTCCCGCGTGGCAGTGCGTACCATTTTATTCCCGACCGCGTCCACGTCTCGAATGACAAATGCCTCGAGTTCTCCGCCGTAGGTTCCAAAAGCGGTACATGGTACCACTACACGTCCTGCTTGTATACTCTGTCTTGGTATGGTTACGGTCTGCAGTTACATCCGACAGCCGCTGTATCCCCCTCGTCCCCCCTCCCGTCCGTCCGTCCGTCCGTCCGTCCGTCGAGCACCAACAGACCGACCGACAGATAGACAGCAGCCACACCGCTCCTCGCATCATCCCGTCATGCTCTCTCGCACTCTGCGTACCCTTTGCGCCGGGTCCGCTCCACGTAGCGTAACCCGTGCCGCTGCCATGGGCTTCCACTCTTCTCGTGTCGCGCGTAGCAGTTTCGTGCAGGTATAGGCTGAACGTACCCGACCGCGTGTCGTTGCTATACGTGTGTTGTATACACCCCCAGGACGTATACCTTCCCGTTACTTTATGCGTGTGTGTACCCTCTTCTTCTTCTTCTTCTTCTTTTGGTGTTCCTTTGCGCTGACCTTTTTGTGTGTGTGTTTGTGTGTCTGTTTGTCTGTATGTCTTACTTGGGACCACATATTGGATCAATGCACTGGATGGACAATGGACGTAGCACCGGGACACAGAGGACAATAACGCCGACACGCCGTTCGACTTTACGCCCGAGAACTACGAGCGCGTGCACGCGATCTTGGACCGGTACCCGGAGAACTACAAGGCGTCGGCGATTATTCCGCTGCTGGACCTCGCGCAGCGTCAACATGGCGGCTGGTTACCATTGGCGGCCATGAACAAAGTCGCGCGGATCGTGGACGCTAAGCCGATCCAAGTGTACGAAGTCGCGACGTTTTATACCATGTTCAACCGCGAGAAGGTGGGCAAGTACTTTATCCAGCTGTGCGGCACGACGCCGTGCATGATTTGCGGCTCGGAGGAGATCCGGAAGACGATTGAAGACCACTTGGGGATTAAGAAAGGAGGTACGGGGCGTGGGGGGTGTGCTGAACACCCACGCTGTGCTTTGTATGCTGTAGACGAAGCAAAGAGACTGAGTGTTGCTGTGGGTGGTGGATGTAGACACGACGGAGGACGGCATGTTTACACTGCAAGAGGTCGAGTGCCTTGGTGCATGTGCGAACGCTCCCATGGTGCAGATCAACGACGACTACTACGTGAGTGGCACTCGTGGGACACAGAGGGCTGCTGCTAGCAGGTATGCGTCTTTTGCTAACGCGTGTGTTGACGGTCACTTGTTGTAGGAAAACTTGACCCCCGAGACGATACGTGAGGTGCTGGACGCTTGCAAAAAGGGCACACCGCCGTCGATGAGCAAATGGGGTAGCCTGCCAATGAACGGACAGCTGTCGTGCGAAGGTCCGCAGGGCAAGACTTCGCTCAAGTGGGACAAGACCCCTGGTCCGGGATTCCGGATGCGTCCGGACGATGATCTCAAGCCCAAGGTGAACCCCAAGGAGATCAAGGACGCCATGCTGTACTAGACAGGTAGTGGAATAGCTGCGGCATCGCTGGGTCGAGCACAAGACGGTCGTTGTGTCTCGAAACGCGGCAGTTGAGACTACTGGGTGACGCACGTCGATGATACCGGTCGGCGGTTCGTTGTTGGCTCTGCGACGACGACCCGCACGGCTGTTCGATTGTCATTTACGAGAACCGAGAAGAGAGCAAGGCAAGTGAGTAGTGCTAGTAGAACGGATCGGAAGATGCTTGGAGTGTTGACATTGACCCGTGTATTGACGCTTAGGACGTTACTTCGAGGCAAGCTCCTGTTTTCGTCTGCTTGAATGGACGCAAAGATGGACAAGTGGAAGTTGATGGTGTATGTGGAAACTTGAAACACGTGCGCTGTGCTTCTACAGACTTTGTACTTGTTGATCTTGATGGCATTCTCGTGGGTGTCGCTGCAGACTTCTCGGTCGAGTTAAACAGAAATGAGGAAGTGCGTACGATAGGGTCTACCAGTGTCGAGTCCATGTGACCAAATCTAGTGATATAACGCAAAACGGCCCGATGTCCGTCTTGTTGGGGTACGGCACTCTTCGACAACGCACTTTCTCCCGCGCAACGTTACGATTTCTACGATAGCTGTTGGCTGCACCCGCGCGAGCGTGAGAAACAAAGTGTCCGCTCGAAAAAGCACTTTGTGTCCACTTGGTCCGCATGGCTTTGCCGAGGCATTCGAGCCAAAAAAGTGGTTAAAACAAATTATCGCAAATGCATTGTTGCAACCGCTTTTTCATCAGTTAGAAACGCTTTTTCATCGTCCGAAACGATTTGTTTCTAACTTGTGCAATGACTCGTGACACGGACCGTGACCGGAAGCGGCGACGCTCGCGCTCGCGCTCTCCCCCGCGTCCCCACCCGAGCCGCCACAACACCCGCCGCACATCATCTTCTTCTCCTGTATCTCCTCTCTATGTTCGCCAATTGGTGTCGACATCCGACGTCTCTCGCGCTCAGGAGACGACAGCGCCGGACGCCACTCGAAGCGCTGCAGCCGCTTTACCTGCTTTAGCGCACCGTGAAGAGCTCCTCTCTGCCCTCGCAGACCACCAAGCTGTAGTCTGTGTAGGCGAGACTGGATCCGGCAAGACCACGCAGATTCCGCAGTATTTGGACGCCTGTGGCGCGTATACGGATGTTCAACGGGCGGTCGGTGGGGGATCTCGTTGTGTAGCCATTACACAGCCCAGACGCGTAGCTACTGTGTCTGTCGCCACACGTGTGGCTGAGGAAATGAACACACGTGTTGGAGGGGATGGGGCTGTGGGGTACGCGATCCGGTTCGAGTCGCGGTGTAGCAGCCAGACGAGGCTGAAGTTCCTGACGGATGGAGTGTTAGTGCGGGAATGTCTGAACGATCCGCTGCTCGAAAAATACAGCGTCGTGATGCTGGATGAAGCTCACGAGCGCAGTATTCATACTGACTTGCTGTTTGGACTGCTGAAACAGGTGATGGCACGACGACCAGAGTTCCGCGTGCTCATCACGTCTGCGACGTTAGATGCCGACAGGTTTGCCGAGTTTTTCGGCGAGAGAATGGCAGTATCAAGTGGTGAAACGAGCACGAAGGAGAAGAAGAAGAAGCCTAAGAAGCACAAGAGTGTGAAGCCATGCCCAGTGGTCATGATCCCCGGACGCGTGTATCCTGTGGAAATCTTCCATTCCAAGCAACGACAAGTCATGGGAAACAGAGGTCCATTGTCGACGTACGTGCGCGCGGCTATTGACACGACGATGCAAGTGCACAATAGTGAGGAGCCAGGTCATATTCTAGTCTTCCTTACCGGGCAGCGTGAGGTTGAAGACGCCTGCGCAAAGATTCGGTTGCTTTATCATGAGCAGCGGTCGAAGCAAAGAAACGACATGGACATGCGTGTGCTGCCACTGTACGGTGCTTTGCAAGGCCGAAGACAGCGTGATATCTTTGATGTGGTACCGGTACATCGCGTGCGCAAGGTGATTGTCGCGACGAATATTGCTGAGACTTCGTTGACGATTGACGGCGTTCGATATGTCGTAGACTGCGGCTTTACAAAGCAGAAAGTGTACAATCCAGTGCAGCAGATCGAGTCGCTCGTGATCGTGCCGATATCGAAGGTGTCGGCGCAGCAGCGCGCAGGTCGAGCAGGTCGCACGGCTCCTGGAAAGTGTTTCCGCTTGTACAACAAGGCGTCTTACGAAGAAATGGCGCAGGAGACCGTGCCTGAGATTCAACGCACGAACCTCGCAAATACTGTCCTGTATCTCAAGCTGCTTGGTATACAGGACGTGCTCGGATTTCCATACTTGGACCCACCCGACGACGACTCCCTCTTGGATGCACTCAAGCAGTTGTACGTGCTAGGAGCGCTAGACTCCAGCAATGGCGAGGCTACTCCAGTTGGTAAACTTATGGCTGCTTTTCCGCTTGAGCCAAGGCTATCTCGTGCCCTGGTCGAATCGTTGCTGTTGGATTGTGGTCGTGAGATGACGCAGGTAGTTGCCATGCTTTCTGTGGAAAACATCTTTGCTGAGGCTCGCTGCAAGCAGCGTCGTCGTGATGAAAGCGACGATGAAGGAAACAAGGCATCTGACTGGATGCACCGCATGCTCAGTCTAAAAGAAGACGGACTTGTGCACGAAGACGGAGACCCGCTCACGTTCCGATCATTGCTCGAGGCTTTCGAATCGAAGTCTCGCAAAGTGCGAGGTTATTACCGCGATCTTGAACGGTGGTGTGAAGACCGCCATCTTCGATTTCGAGCCCTGACAATGGCGGTATCCGTGATGAAACAGCTTCGTGGCATCATTGACTCGCTTTCTGGACGTGATCTGGATGCCGTAAAGACGAGTATGCGGGTCAATGAGAACCGCCTAGATGAGTCAGTCGATGATCGTCTTCGCCAAGCATTCTGCGCTGGTTTCTTTATGAATGCGGCACGTCGATGCACAATGGACACGGCGTTTCGCCTCATTTTCCATGACTGTGATGACCGAAAAGCAGTCCAGCTTGTGCAATTCCATCCGCTATCGGTGATGTGCTACTCTGCTCCGCCCGAATTTTGTGTGTTCCAAGAGCTTGTTGTCACTAGTAAGCCGTTCATGCGCTGTGCATTGGCTGTCGAGCGTCGTTGGCTTGACCACTACTTCAGCGGCAAAAAGGAGATCTCATTGGCGCTGCTCTATGCTTTGTGTGGACGCAAGCCTCCTGCTGCTAAAGATGAGGATCGCAAGATAGTAATAAAGCAGCGCGATGGTGAAATGGCGGAGCGTCAAACGCAGCCAGCGCCTGTGACGGCTGATGCCGTTGCTGCAGCCCGTGCACGATTCTTGGCGCGCAAGACACGCTCATGAACGTTGTAGTGGAGATATGGATGACAAAGACGCTACTAAGGACGAACGACAGACGGCATGAGTGAACGATGACACAAAGCGCAAGCAGATAATGTCAAAGCTGTGCTAGGCGACAGTCTCGTTTGCAGGCAAAAAGCTGGACTGATCCAAGATACTCGTGACGTTTGCTGTGCTACATGTGGCGATTCGATACACTTGTACTTGGTCTCGTCGATCGCTTGCTCAGCTGTTGCGCTTGGTGACGAGGAGATATTGAAGACGCGCGTTTTCTGTTTGCAAGGCTGCGATGGAGTGCTTCAAGTTTGTCGTCTCGCTTGCCAAAGCCTTTTCCACCTTGTAGCTGGCCACCATGAATTCTTCGTAATCGCGTTCGACGGCCTGCAGCTGCTCGTTCTTGGTCCGCACTTCCGATCGTAGATTGTCCACTACATTGGCCCACGCTTGATCACTCCCATCATGAGGTGCGCAGTATTGGTCGTCGTGACGTCCGGCACTGGCTTCGACAACGTCGTCAGTGTTCCGGTGACGATGGGTAACGAGCTCAAGCTCATCCGTTTCAACATGTGAACAAAAGGCAGGGTCGTCCGGCATCACGTCTGGGATATCGACTACACTCAGCAAGCGACTCACTACCGTCTTGTACCTCTGCAGGTTACCTCTCAGCTCGTTGATCTGCGCCGCCGGTGATATCACGTGCTCCTCCTTGAAATACTCAAGCTCCTGCTGCGCAAAGACAACTTCTTCTTCGGCTCGCTCGATTCTGTGGCTCAAGTCTTCCTCGGTCGCTTTGAGCCTGCGCACGTACGATTGGAGGTCGTCGTTTTCTTGCTCAAGACACTGAAGCTGTTGACGAAGTTTCGCCACTGCATCGTCGTCGTGCTCTGGTGTCTGCATCCGGGCGACAGCAAGTGTAGCGCTACAGGGATCGTTTAGCTGGTGCTACTTCGCCAGAGTGTGCTCAAATCGACGGGTCGATAACAAACGAAGTCTCGAGTGTAGTCGTCGATGCCAAGCTCGACCACACGTTCTGACGACGGCAAGACGGGCAGACTCTCTTACGTGAGGATGATGGACCAGGAACTCGTTGAAGCTCGCATCGACATGGCGATGGCAATGTCGAAGCTGTCGCGTGCACTTTCTCTTCCAGGGGACGCGTTTTTGCGAGAGCCACCTTTCTACGATACGACATCACGTCGCGTCGCTCGCGAAACGGTACCGATGTCACAGATAGGATTGCTGCGTTTACAAGCAATGGCAATGGCGTGACAAACTGTGGTGGACCATCGTAGCCTGATCGCTCGATCACGACAACCGTTGTCGAGTGTTATCACTCGACTGTTCCGAGGCTTGATGCAGTGCATGGTTGCGGTGTATCTTGCACCCGGAGAAACGTCTGGCTCAAGATCGTTCTGTCAAGGCCAACGCTTGACTGCTGCTGCTGATGCTTCCGATTGCAAGCACCACTTTTCTGCATCTCGTACACGCAGTACAAGTTTCCTGCGTCTTGACCACAATCGGCATGAACAGCGTTCGCCGCCCGACTGCTCTTCTCTATCCACACAGCACAAACACAACACGCAAGCATACACACCGACGCACACACTCGTCTTGCTTCCTGGCATGCAGAGATAGATATATATATTACTTCCGCCCCATTCATTGTTCCAACAAGGCGTCTTTTCCAGTGCTTCTCCATACCTCGTGTTGCAATCCATTTCCATCTCCATCTCCTTCTTATTCCATCTCCATCTCGATCTCCTTCTTCTCCTTCTCCTTCTTCTATTGAATCAAGCAGTAGCCCTGCATCTCCGACGCTTTCTTCACCTCGTTCAGCCCCTCTTGTGTCTGCTGCATGCTCTCGTGCACGTGCGTGTCAATGTCGTCGATCGCGCCCTGTTGCTCCTGCACAATGGCCGCCAAGTCGCGGAAAATCTCATTCACCTGCGCCACGCTCTGGTGGATCTGGTTAATGTCGTGCTCGCGCTCTTCAATGAGCGCCTCGTTGTGCGCGATCTCGCTCTCGAGCTCGGCAAACGCAATCACTTGGCCCTCGTGCGCGCCCACGAGGCCACTGCCCGCGTCCTGCTGGTCCACGAGCGTCTGTTTCTGCTGCTGCTCGCGCGCCGCAACGCGCACGACCGCGGCCTCGAGGTGCGTCGAAATGGCTTCAAAGTCTTTGCACAGCTTCCGCTTGATCAGCGAGTTCGACGGCGGCCCCGCGGGCACGTGGGCCAGCGCGCGGGCGATCTCTTCCTGCAAGAGACACGCGAAGCGGATGCGGTCGTGCAGGTCCTCGTCGACGGCGCCAGACGCTGTGGCGGCGCGTTTCACGGCAAAGACCTGACGCTGGAACTGCTCGAGCTTTAAGGTCGCGCCCTCGACGGCCTGCCGCGTCTGCGCGCAGGGCAGCGCCACGGACGGCCGCGTGGGGTCCGACGGGCGCGTGGGCGCGTGAGGGGCCGTGGCGAGCGGCGCGGGGGCCGTTGCCGCAAAGTCGGCAAAGCTCATGAGGGCGCAGAGGAAGAGAAGACGGCCGCCGACGACGATGGGCGCAAGTGTCGAAATGGGTGTTGTTTCTATTGGGCACGTGGGTGGCGGCCCTTTTTTTCGCGCGATAGAAACGACGATAGAAATGGGCCGAAGATACGCGCGCGGATTGGTGCAGGGCCGGAAGCGGTTAGGGGACTGGAGACGACCGTGTGGTGCATAGACCGGGCGATGCGACAAAGAATGGACGTCGCTGCATTGTAACCCGTTGCTGTTGTGTTGTTGTTGGTGGTGAAGATGGACGTGGACGTGGACGTGGTATTGTAGTGTTGATGTTGTTGTTTGGAGTGGCATTCTCGCGTTGGGATTGGCTGACGGGTTGTGGGAACGTATTTGTTGCGGGCAGAACCGTTGGGCAGGATAGAAACGTGTCCACTTTATGTGCCGTTTCGGTCGTTTCGACTTGCGATCCGTGGAATGTTCGAACCTATCGATACTTTTGTAGGCAGCAGATACCGTCATGCGCGAGTAGCTCCGGGCGTATACTTTTCTGATGAGGCTTTGCTATGTCTTTCAATATACTGACGCAATAGAGTGTATGGAGGTCTATCCTTTGTCTCCTTACGCTTGTGGTGTAGACTTGCGATACAGCGCCTTCGCACTCGTTCTGACGTCGGACTCCAGTCTTGTGTCCAGATGTATGTGCTGGCGTAGCGTACTACCACTTGACGTTTTATCGATAACGGTCGACGGCGATCGATGATGCTGATGATGATGGATAAAGTGGTTGGCGAAGAGTTTCGATCGATGCTGTCAACGCATCTGCAAAGGTGTGCGAGTGAGAACTGTCGCGCACGATCGCACGCGTTTTTCTCTAGTCTGCCTTGCAAATTGTTGGTACGCGTTTTCCTGCGTGGGGAGTGAGAGTGTCCTGATCGACGTGGTCGATACTGACAAACATACACACACTGGTGTCGAGTAAACTGTTCAGAAAGATGCAGGTGAGTCCGTATCGTGAGACGGTGAGACGCTTCATGTGTGGTGCTATTCCAAACTCTGTGGCAGTTGCGACGATAGTCGCTGCCGCACCCCATGCAACAGATACTGTTCATGCAGCAAAGTGTCGTCGAACACGTGCCAGGATAAGACAACTGCTTTCGAAGACATCAAGAGCGATGACAGGAAGCAGATTGCGGGATTGGATGCGGCGTGCAGCAAACGCAGATCATGATTAACTTTGCTCGGACGATGTCTGGGTGTCTGGAATGGGCCTCGAGCGCAGATTGGCCGGCTCTTCGCCGGGACTTTGCTGTGCGACGACACATTGAGACCCGAACTATGTGTGCCTGTTCTAGTTACAAAGGTTGACACATATTGGCAATATGGTGTGCTAACAACTGGACAATCGACCGATGACGGAGACAAACACGCCGATCATGACTTCTGGTGTGGCAAAGGGCATCGCAATGCACTGTGATTGACGCATTGACAGCGACGTTGGACTTGGAAGCCGGACATGGTCATAGCAAAGTGCCAAGAGGTGGGAGACCGAACAAGTAACGTCGTCAACTTTGGGTCCAGCAAGCAGGAGGAACAAGAGTCGTTCCACGATGGTCATTTGACACTGCAAGCAATGCGTCGCATGGAAATGATCACACGTACAATGAACTGGGAACACGCACACGTGTGATACTGACGAAAGCTGACATGAGCATACATGTGCAAGTTAATGTCCAGCTGTGCTGCCCTCGCTCAGCTCATACACGTAACACTTCTGACAACAAGCTGCGATGCTACGACGAACAACAACTCATACATGCGAAGACAACAGCTGACCGTCACTACTTCTGCACGCAAAACTGGAAAGTGACAGTACTATGCTGGCGCTGTCTGTACCGCAGGGAGTACAGCCATGTATCGCACTACTGCTGTGTCTTTGCGTGGCATGACAGGCGGTGCAAATTTGCACGCGAGCACCTTTCGTGGATGTTACTCTCCACTCTGTTTCTCAACAGTATATCGTACCGAGCATGCGCAGCAGCGACTCATCGACGGTCATCTGCAGTGGACAAATTGATACTTTACCACTTGTTCTAGCAGTAAGAGCACGTTTCGACATTGCACAGCGATCCATCTCCAGCGAAGTTACTAACTAGTGGCCTCACACACACGACGACAAAGATGAACAAAGAGCTCGAACACTGTCACGTCAACGCCACATGATCACGTTGTGGCAATGTGCTTTCTTGTCGACTGCAAGAGAGAGAGAGTTACCAGCTTCTTTCATCTCCATCCGCTCGCTTCCGCCCGCTCGTCTCCTTCTAGCTTCCGAGCGCGATCGCCTTGCAAAACAGCACAACCGACGAGGCTGCCCAGCCACTAACGTTTCCTACCAGCAGTCCCATGGCCGTGATCGCCACGTAGTCAGACAGAGACATCATCTCTTTTTCTGGCTCTGTCGGCGGCTTGGCACCGTCTTTGGTACCGGGATGGTAGCAATAGAACACGCCTGCAATGCCCATGAGACACGTCTCCCAGCCACACATGGCTCGGGCACTGAGTAAGCTGCTGTAGGTCTTTACACTCGATCCCACAAAACCCGTCGCCAACGACAGCAGCAGCGGCGCCAGTCGCGCAAAAGTCTCGCGCAGTCTCGGCTTGAGCGCAGGTCCGTAGTCGTCGTACAGTTGCCGCTTCTCCGGGTCCGACAGCACTTTGTAGGCCTCGGAGATCGCTTGAAACTGCTCTGGCTTTGCATTCCGGTTCTTGTCCGGGTGGTATTGCAGGGCCTTGGACCGATAGGCTTTGGCGATGGTCGAAGAGCTACGAATTGGTAGGATAGACAGTGTATTATATGGTTAGTTGCAGTGGCTGTAGGTGTCGGTCGAGCAAATGGGAATCGTGACATGAACAGCCACAGTTTGTACCTTGCGTTGGTGTCGACTTGCAGAACCGAGTAGTAACACGGACCGAGGCGCTTGTACGTGCTCATTGCGAGGACAGACAGGTCGCCAACTGGTTGTTATTGACCACACTTTGGCTGAGCTCGTCGACTTTTGCACAGACCACTGTAAAAAGTACGAATGACAAACGACGTTTCGTATTCGACCAATGGACATGACGTTGAAGTTGCATGTAACGAACTACTTTGGAAGGGACTGCCTGCATTGCGACGTCAATAGGAGAAGCCACACAACTCGTTGATACGTGCAAACAGACTCGCATCTTGTTCATGTCAAGTTGATCGGCTACATCACGTGGAAAACGCTATAGCGCTTGAAGATGGACTACTGGCCGTCTACAACCTGCGTCACCGAACACGGGGCGAAAGAGAAGTAGGCTGTGGTTGCGCCAAGGGCTAGTCGCATACAGAGCAGTCGGCTTCTTCGTCCACAGTTAGCATGACAGAGCTGCAATCAACGTTTGGTGCGAGCCACGTAGTGTACGACATCCAAGAACTCGCCATCATTGAGTAGACACTTGCAACTTGTGGAAAAATGGTCGACTTGCTCGAAAGCGCTGTCGTGTCGAGTCTGAAGAAGGTTCGTCTACTCAGCAATGCGATCGAACATCACTGATATTGGCAGCGAAGTCAGCAACGAATTGTCGGGAAAACGTCAGCGTCAAAGAACATCAACGTCAGTAAAGAAGTTGGCGTTGAAGACGGTATATGACGCAGATTGCATGCTCCTTCGGATCGATTTGAGCTGTAACGGAGAGCTCGTGACATGTTTCCGACCCAATTGTTCAGTCGATGACAGGAAAACTCAGTATTAGTCACAAGGGTGACCAAAAACGATTCGTTTTCGGTTGGCTGATATCGACCACGATGTCGACCCAAATTCTACCAATCAAGTGGACTCAGTCGGCGGTAAGCAGTTACATACAAATTTGTGTCAATTCGGTAATAGGACATAGAGCATGCGGATCATGGACAGCGCAATCAGCTTACACTATGCCCACTTAGTCCAGCCTCACTGCATGTAGCGTTCGTGTTTGTATACCAGTCCAAGAGCCACCGCTCATGGTCACAGTACCAAATGATGGTCATAACAACTGAGGAGGGCCGGTAAAGATTTATCAGGAATACTAGGCTATCGACAAAGTGTGAATACAGCTAGCACATCCATCATGTTCAATATATCATGATACAACGCGATCCGCACCCACAATCGCGCACAGTTGGTATGCCATTTCTCCTCATGGATGCATAGCATGACGTCTACAGTATAAGCTACAAAGGCTTCGAAAATGTGGTGTTGTGGCGATCGCGAAAGCTACAATTAGATTGACACTCAGTCTGTCGAGCAGACGACTGACCAATCAAGACGTTGTATCATATTCGCGTACGTGTGTATCCTCAGCTTACCTTGTACACCCGTTGGCTGGACAGCTTGCACTCTTCTTGATGGACTAAAGTCGGCATCTGATAAAAAAGTTAGTTGGAAGACTATCGCACAGGAAACCCTCGCTCGACCGCATGTACTCAAAAGCGCTTTCATCGAGTCATTTCGATGTTCCTTTGGCTCACTGGGCGTCAGATTGAGCCCTTCACCGACAATCGTGGTAGTTTGGTACGTGATATCGTTCGTTGTGTCCTGATGCGTGCTTGCTGCGTTCCATTCGCAGTTATCTTTACCTTCGAAATCATCGTCACGATCGGTCGTAGTACCATACGAGATTGGCAGTTACTAAGATGATCAATCACTGATATTTGTATGGAGCGAAGTCTATGCGAGTTCTTAAAGCAAGGTCGGACACAAGAATCCTCACAAAGCAAAAAAATGAACAATCGCGATGTCTTTCTATCTGATGTTAACACGCCACATGACCCGGGGTACTGCTTAACAATGGTGCGTCTGTGTGCGTAGTAAAGGGCATTAAACACTAGTTCGCATCTTGATCTGTACACGATAAAGGTCATTAAACACTAGTTCGCATCTTGATCTGTACACGATTCGTACCTTGCTAAGGCAACTTCGACCACAAGAGTAAGATAGTAGAGGCCTTGTTCAAACATATACTCTTTTTCACTTTGTTCTGTTGTAACTCTTATTCGTTGCAGTCCAGTACAACAGGGCTATGCGCCCAGTGAGCTAAGCAGACTCGTTGGATCGTGTTTGTCAAGAGTGGAGAATAGCTCGTTGGGCATAGCCTTTCTCTGGCGAAGGATTTGTTATAGCTCCGCTACCGCAGGTATTTATACTGGGATCGCGACGTCGGCTTATCGGTCTCCCGGTCCACCTAATATGCAGAAAAAGGATAATTTATTTTGGACGATTAATTGTGCCGTCCAGGTCTGACAACCACGACTTATTGTTTGACTGAATGCGCATGGATGCGGCGACGGGGAAGGTCAAGACTGCACCAAATGCCGCGCGGTGCGTGGTATAATGCACACAAGTCTATACTACTAAGACAATGAGCACTATAGCTAGCTTGCAATTGATCTGAATGGACGTATTTCAAGTCAGCTAAAATACAAGTTAAGCTGCCACGCTGAGGCGTCGGTCTGTGGCTGCTACCAAAAAAACGCGTTGGTGGGTCGTTACACCGTTAGATCTAGAAGCCTTCGTTTAGGCGAATGCTCTTAAGCACGTTGTGCTGACGATTCTACGAATCGTAAACCGCTTCATACAGTCCAAACGGTTTGCGAGCAAGTGGACTCTCAAAGTCCTTATCCTACCAAATAGTTGACTGTTCGAGTCAATGTTGTTTGAACTGTTAGAAGCGTAAGTCGTGTTTTTGGATGATATCCGAGTGGTTCATTAAGCTCAAGTCTTCGTTTGGCAAGGATCTGGTATAGCTTTGCTACACTTGACAACACCAGTAGGCGATTAATGACCGAGAAACTGGTTAACATGAGTTAAAATCTCACAACCACTTAGCAACATCAGCGAAAAAGTTGCGCTTGAGGCATCTACCAGGAGTGCACAAACAACGTGTCCTTGAAGCTGATGGGCTCACAGCAACAAACTAAGCTCACCTATAGGCGACATCAATAAGGCGGTAGACGCTATAGCAAACATCACGATGGATGCCTGAAAGAGCATTCAAGCGGAAGTAGTGGACATACTTGTTTCATCTATAGCATCCACCAACAAAGATCCACGAGCTCGTAAGCGGGTATATTGAGCACTCGACGGGCAAAGAATCCTACCACAGAAGCGACAAGTCAGGCTTACGCTCATGAGGGAGCGACTGAGATCCCGCATCCATTGGTATCCTCATCAACAGCGACATCCAAACTATAGTTGGAGTTTGTTAACCGATTCCAATGGCCGAGTGGATAAGCACTGGGACCGAGAGTGATAGGTACGTGAATCGACAAACGCGCAGGGGCGGTGCGATTGCATATCACCCGAGAGTGGCTGACAAAGCCGGATATTGTGGGTCGTACGAGTAGTCGTCGAATGTACCTCAAACCTTCTCTCTCTAGTTGGGGTCTGTATGACGTCAGTGGCCGCAAGACAGCGATACGCTAGTTGAGGCATCAAACCCGTATGAGACCGACCCAATCCAGACTCAGTTCAGTGGACAAACTATGGGGTCAAAAGCATGATCGCTCGCAAATTATACACGAGACTGTCATTCACCGATTAGGGCGGCGGCATGACTACAGTACAAAGTGCATCGAACAAAGGTGGATATGGGTACGCGGCATGAGACGAGGCCGATGGTGCCGGATGCTCAAACGTTGGGCGATAGTCCAAGTGTAGGAACGAGAACGAGGCAGCATCTTACCCTCCACGACTAGTTCTTGTACACTTTTCGCATGCATTGGAGAACGTGCTGGAGTGACGCGCCGCCGTCTCGTGCTCGATAGTAGCCATGACGACAACCGCGGACTGCGACAACGCAAAGTCACCGTGTCTTACCCCTTTGTGGGATGCTTGGAGGAGTCGACGGGCGCGATCAGGTCGCACGTTGATACGTAACTAATTTCGCAATAGCAAAGACCGTGTGGGGAGATTCAATCGGTCTGCTCCAATCGCGACCGACTGGTCGTCAACTTGTTGTCGAGTTGTGTCGCTCCTGGTGAGCTTTGAGCTATGTAGAGAGAGAGAGAGAGAGAGAGATTCATGACTATCTATTACACAGGATGGTTATGCGCTAGATGTCTGAAATCTTCTTAGCCGAGAATACAGCGCCGGTCGCGGCGGTGGTTCAAAGCACCCCTCTAGTGGTAGCGAAACCCCGCTAGCATCAAGAGTAAAAAGTTCAAGGGAGGCATGTAATCTAGCCCCTTGAAGCACGGTCGCCGCCCCTCTATGCTCACGCATAGCCAAGGCCGATAATTGACGGACACCCGCCGTCCAGAAATGGACGACACTTTGAGCCGTCGTAGACTGCATGCCTCTAAACACTGCATCGTTGCGCTCGCTCCATAAATGCGTAATGCAAATGGAACACATCAAAAACCAAATCCGTCGCCACACCGTTTCGCCCGCTGCGGCATCATCTTGAAACCGCTCGAGCAACCGAGACCGCTGAAACGCCGGAATCGCCGGAGCCTGGCGATTCGCACAGTTGCTGAGACAACTATCTACTACTGCACTCGACACAGAAGCGCCAATCCAATGGCTGATGAAGTTAGCCCAACACGCCCGCGCCTTCTGACAATCCCAAAAAATGTGCCTCGACGTTTCGGGCACCCCGTGACACGCAGACAGGGCCCGGCAGCTGGGGTCGGTAGCCCGCCCGGCGTGGAAAAAATTAAGCTGCTTGGTGGCGACTCGATACGCCGTCCAAACTTGATAGTCGGAGAGTCCGTTGTCATGTTTCCAAAGTTGGAATGGTTGCTGATGCGCCGCCGCCCGTTGCCACAAATCCTCTCGATAGACTGCATCCAGCCGCTCCAATAAGGGTAGTAAAGGTCGAGTTAGTCGGTGTTTGTGCAGCGAAAAAGCCCGGTGCAAAATAGCCTGACGGAGAGCTCCATTAGAAACCGTGTCGGGAACTCCCCACACAAAGTGGTGGTGACTTAAGTGAGCATAAAAGACCACGCCGTGCTGCCTGATGTGCGTAGCCCATCTCTGGCTGTCACCGTCCGACGCCGTGTGGAGCTCTGGTAGGCCTTCTTGAAACAACCAATGCAGCCCATTAGAGCCCTGTCGTAACCGCACCGTACCGTCTCCCTCCACAAGTGAATTCCGGCGAGCTCCCACGACGCAACCCCGACTCACAGTGACCCAGTCATATTCATAACGAAATGGCGGGGGATGCCGAAGAGATAATGCTGACGCCACGCCCAATTCTGATCCAACCGTACACAACGGAGACGCCAATAAAATTGCTGTCGCCCACCGGCGGAGCTTAGGCTGGGAATACGTGACTCCCTCTGGCCGCGAGGGCGGGATGGTGAAAACATAGGTGGTCGGGCCCGTCCTCCAAATGTGCAGGTCCGCGATAGAGCAGGCGGCAATTTGATTGAACTTCGAGTGCAACAACTTCGCACCTTTTGCATCCCGGATCCACGGATTGCCGGACCAGCCAAACGTCCCCCAAAATTGACGCACCGTGCGTAGTTGATAATCAGAACCCTCAGGAGGAGCGCCTTCGTCAGGTAACGAAGTGGAAAAGTGTAGTTCCCAGCCACGCCCTATCCAGCGACTGACCGCTTGTAGTACGAGGGAATCCAGGGAAGACGATGTCCGAGCCCGACGTTGACCAGCGTGCGCCGCCGACGGCTCAAGAAGAAAGTCTAGATCTTTAGCCACGAAAGCCGGCGAAGACCTGCTGATGCATAAAAGCCGTTCCCGGCTACGCAGCCATGTATGCATGACCATACCCGAACCGGTAGATCCGCCTTGGTACGCCCAGGACCGCCAAGCATTAAAATACGTGTCGTGCGATTGGGTTAGCCAGCGCAGCGCGTGTTTGGTCCGTTGCGTTTTGATGGCCACCTCCACCGAGGCTAGCCCAACCCTACCGGCTTTCTTCGGCGTGTACAGTAAACCAGGGTTGATTTTATGACGACGCGCGTCCGTCGAGGTCGAATGGTCCCACAAAAACTGTTTGTAGAGATTTTGAATGTCTTTGCTGGCCCATGACGGGATCTCAAAAACGGCCGCCGTGAACAGGATCGACGGTAAGATGACGGCGTTGAGAATGAGTACTCGAGAAGCAACACTGGTCGATATTTTCGAAGCCGTGAGCAGACGCCGCTGCAGCCGGCGAATTCGTAGCGCCCAATTGCGATGCTGGAGATCACCCGTTCCAATCTCGTACCCCAAGTACCGCGTGGTCTCACCCGCTTGAAGGACCGATATGCCGTGGAAGTCAACTAATCGAATCGCGCGGTTTAAGAAAATCAGTTTGCTCTTAGCCGGTTGCGCGTGCAATCCGGACAGAGCGCCAAATTGGTGCACGAGCTGGAGCGCTGCCGGCAACTGCCGCGCTGCCTCGAGAAATATGGTCGATCCATCAACAAAGGCGGAAAAAGTATGAGAACCTGCCCCGTCGCCTGGGACCGGAAGACCGCTCAAGGCAGGAGAGTGGTGAATGGCCAGCCCCAAGAGCTCGACCGCCAAGAGAAACAGAAGAGGGGCGAGTGGGCACCCTTGCCGAATGCCCGATACCACGGGGATAGGCTTGGAAAGCTCACCATTGACGAGAAACGATGCCGTCGTCCCTGCATGCAGCCGATGAATAAGCTGAATATAACGTTCGTCGAAACCAAAACTGCGCAGCGCCTCATACAAAAAATCTCGATCTACCGTATCGTAAGCCTTGCGAAAGTCGAGTAAAAGGATGGCACGGCTATGGAGAGCTGCGCGAGTCTCATCGTGCCGAGCCGTGGCTAATTGAGCCAACATCATCATCACGAGCTTTATCATCTGCCTGCCGTGAACAATACCTTGCTGCGACTGCCCAATAAGTTGCGGTAGAACGCGCTGCAAGCGCGTATCCAGAACCTTGGCAAAGACCTTGTAGCTTGTTTGCAGTAGGGAAATAGGCCGATAGTCCATGGCATCTGTCAAATCCCCCTTCTTCCGTAAGGGGATAATAAGGGCATCGAGAAAGGAGAGCGGTGGGTCGGCGCCGTCCAAAATTTGGTTGCTGATGGCTTTGAGAGCTGGAACGAGGAGAGCAGGTGTATCCTTGTAGAAGTCATTGTTTAGACCATCCGACCCCGCTGCCTTATGGCGACTGAGACCGGTGACAGCCGTCAGAACCTCCGCTTCCGTTACACAGGAAAGTAGTGCCATGTTATCATCACCAGACAGCTTCCGGGCGCTGGGGACGCGCACGAACCGTCTGATGGCCGAGGGCAGATCTCTGAGAGGCGTCGTACGGTGACTGGTTCCCAGGACGGACGACCACTCGGACGCAAATTTATTAGCAATTGACAGGTTCCCGACAAAGGAAGGACCGTGGAGCTGAGATATGTTCGTGACACACTGGTCGCGCTCCCAATTAGATACCCGTTGGAATGTCCACCGTAACAGATCCGAGGACCGCTCGAGGCGCTGCCCGAGAAGTACGAGATGTTCGCGACGGAAGTCTTCCACGTTATGCTCAATCCACTGCTGCCTCGACGTTAGATTACAGGTGCTTCGGTACATGCACTTGCGACGCAGCCTGGCACGTCTCTGTTTATCCCGCTTTCGAACCCTGTGAATACACTGGATGCATAAAGCCAAACCAGCATCCCATGATACCGTCGACGCCCCTTGCCCAACCGCCAAATGATCCATGTCCTGGATCAACTCAGCAAGAACCTGTTCAGGATGCGGGGTTTGGATGGGATAAGTTACCCGGCGACAAGGACGAGGGTGATGCTGACGCGCCGAGGCTCGCAGGTGAAGCACCACCTGCTGATGATCTGACTGTAGCGGGAATGGGGAGGTGGACACCCACTGGACCCGATCAACCCAATGATCGGGGACGTAAAATCGATCGATACGACTGGCGTGACCTCCCTCCCAATAGGTAAAATGATCATCAAAGTCATCGGCGGCGTCATCGTCCGCATGGTCCCGAAGCACCCGCGCATCAGACGACTCAGCGGAGGAAATTAGAGCATCGAGCGCTGGGCTTTCCGACCTATAGGAACGGTGCTGACCGTACCGATCGACCGCTGGGCTGAGCACGCAATTAAAGTCCCCGACGAGGACGGTCGGGTGGTCGCGTAAATCCCAAGCGAAAAGACTACGAAAAAACAATTCACGGTCCGGCCGCACATTAGGGGCGTAAACATTGAGTAACACATCTCCGTCTAGCATGATAGCAAGCGTCCGTGTTGTCCATAATGCTGGCTTCCATGGAGAAGTGTGAGACGCTGATTGAGGATTCAAGAGAATCGCGACACCCCCCCTTGAGAGGAAGAGCCTGTACTCCAGTAGGAGAGTGTAGGAGCACTAGATGATGACTGGAGACCCCACAATCTTGCCCAGGTGTCCGCCAAAGTGTTCGCCTCCTCTTCTGTGCTCACATGAGTTTCCTGAATGAACCACGCAAGTGGGCGATGGCGTTGACGCGCGCCGCGCCATGCCGACATCCATCTGAATCGAGAAGTCTTTTTTAAAACCGCGGACATTTTGGGAGACATAGGCCACGTCCCCGAGCCGCGGTGTGTGCTGGTGGAATGGAATGGCATTGGGTGCCGCCCAATCCCGGAGCAAACGAAGGCGCCCATAGGCATCGACATTTTCCAAAGCTGTGGTCCGAAGTGCAGAGGCGTAGTGAACCCTTGAGCTGCCCTTAGTACTCAGGTTGAATGGGAGGGAGAGCGGGCTCTAATGCGGTGGAAAAATATTGCACGAGAGTCACCCAATTCACCACTGTATCGTGTGGAGAATAGTAAGCCGTCCGGTAGCCACTGGTGCCCTGCAGCTGCTTTGAGCTATGTATCCCCTGTCGCGTCGTCCGTCGTCGCGTTGGGATGCTCTGCAGCACGTCGTGCCATTAAATCGGTCCGCCTCCCAAGCGGCGCGTTGGTTACTTGCCACAAATAACAGCACTGCCCCGTCGCTGTCGCTGTCGTCGTCTGACCGTGAGGGGTACGTCCCCGTTAATTATGGCACCGAACCCAACCGCGTGGCCACTGTGTCGCTGTCGTCGTCTGACCGTGAGGGGTACGTCCCCGTTAATTATGGCACCGAACCCAACCGCGTGGCCACTGTGTCGCTGTCGTCGTCTGACCGTGAGGGGTACGTCCCCGTTAATTATGGCACCGAACCCAACCGCGTGGCCACTGTGTCGCTGTCGTCGTCTGACCGTGAGGGGTACGTCATGTTAATTATGGCACAGAACCCAACCGCGTGGCCACTGAACTGGTCAACAGACGCGTCGCCGCTCTCACTTCCGCCCGACGCGTCGCCTCGTCATGGAGCCGCCCACGGCACTGCCACCGCACGCGCTCGTTGTCCAGTGCGTGTTCCTGGCGACCGGCGTCCTGTCCACGTGCGTCGCGCAGTTTGTGTTCTATCAGGGGGCAGGGGACCAGAAGGCCATGCTCTTGCCGTTGTGTAACTACTTGGGGATGATGCTCGTGGGACTGTTGCCGCCTATAGGGACTGCTACTGCTACTGCTACTGGTACTACTACTACTGCTACTGCTGCTACTGCTGGTGGTGGTGGTGGCTCTGAAGAGACTGTGGAGAAGACGGAGAAGAAGAAGAAGAAGAAGGAGATGGAGGAGCAGCTGCAGCAGCAGCGGTTTGAACAGCAGGTGAGCAGGTCAGTTATTGAAGAAGACGTGGAGCCCGAGCGCACGCCGTTGCCGGCGCAAGTGGTGGCGTTGATGCCGCGACATGCTCGGGACTTGGAGGCACCAGAGACGGTACTGCTTACACGACGGTCGACGGCGATGGAGCGTGACGACGGGTTCGATGGAGATGAGGAGGAGGCGCTGCTGCTGGCGGCAGACGACAGCAGTAGCTGCAGCAGTGACGGGAAGAAAGCTGCGGGGATGAAGGTCCGCGTGACGTCGTCGTCTGTGCACTTTTCCGTATCGACCTTGCAGCTCTGTATCGTTGTATCGGTCGTGCTCGACTTTGCTGGCTGCATCTTTTCGAACGTGGGGCTGTCCATGGCGGGCAGTGGACTGTATCAAGTCGTGTACTCGAGCGTCATTTGCTGGTCGGCGCTCATGTCGCGGTTCATCCTGAAGAAGGTTGTGTCGAAAGAGGAGTGGTGTGGCATTGCACTGGTGACGTTTGGACTGGCGTTCAGCGCGCTCGGCGAGTCTGGAAGTGGACGCGACAATACGCTCGTTCTGATGGGCTGCCTCAACACGCTCGTGGGGGCTGCATTTTATGGCGGCAACTACGTCATGGGAGAATATACGCTGGCGCTCGTGGAGCGACCGCAGCCGAAAGAGTTGTGTCTCAAGATTGGCGCAACGTGTGTGGCTGTGATTGCCGTGTACCACAGCATCTTCGTGCTGCCTTCATGGGACGTATTGGTGACAAAGCCCATCGCTGACGCTAATGGAAATACAGCGCAGATTGTCGTTGCACTCGCAGCGTATACGCTGTCTCAGCTGGCGCATGGACTCACGTACTTTGTGATGCTGGGCTCTAGTGGCGCTGTCACCACTGGCATCATGCAGAGTTTGCGCGCCGTGTGTGTGTTCATCATCAGCTCGATGCTGTACTGCAGCCAGCAGGAATCGCAGTGCTTTGATATCAAGCGCGGCGTGGCCACTATGATTGTCGTGAGTGGTGTCATGTTCTACTCGTGGGCCAAAAGTCAGCAAGGCAAGGCAAGTGTGTTCGCTCCGTCGTTGTTGGACCGGCCAAACAGAGACTTCAAGACCGGGATCGGCGCTGGCAAGAACCATATCGTCTAGGCCACGGGGTCAGCACGAAAGTTTTGGACGAGTGGTCGTCTGCTATGTTTTCATTCACGATTCGTAACAACAGGATCTGTTTGAGCAGCCATTGTTTGTCCATGAGCAAGTGCTCGGTGAAGAGCCGCAGCATTTGGTTTGCAGCTGTAAGCCTGTATTGTCAGGAGCTGAAAAGCGTTGAAGCACTTATTGGACGAGAAAAGGCAAACTGCATAGTGATTGATGGACGATACCACATGATCGGGATCGAGTGCCTGAAGTGGGCATTGGTACAGTCACCAGACCGCCAGAAGGTTGTCTCGCGGAACTCATGCCACATGTGCAAGGTGCCAACTGGAAGTCGTTGTGAGACGATACTGTCCTTCGCAGTTGTCGAAGCAGCTATGATGTCGACTGACTCCGTGTGCAGCTCCACTGATGCACATGTCGATTCTCCACAGTTCGCCTACAAAGCTCTGTATCGTAGTTTGTCCATGCTGCGGCTATGGCAGGTTTGATCACGACTTGCTCCATGCTTCATTCGTGAGCACAAAGGCTCTTCGTGTATTTGGCACGGTCCCTAGTCAATTTGCCAACTACAATGTTCTCTGGTTCTTGTTGCCGTCAAAGCGTACATAGATAGTAAGCCAAATCTGCGTCTCCAGCCTCTTTCCGCCACATATCTTGCTCACGATGCACTACGCAATCAGTTTGGTCGTCTCCAACAGCATCCGACGCTCTTGCCAATGTATGTTGAGCGAGCAAATGGAAAAGTTTGAGCGGCTTTGAGCTCAAACAAGACATTCTCACGGTCATCTCGACTGTACGCTTCGTTGCTCTCCTCGAAACACTCACTAAGTCCAAAACTGTTGTGGATATTTGATGCCCATCTGGCATAGCCGCATCGTTCAGGGCAACCAGTTCCTCGAGTATAGTCTTTCGACGAGTTTCGTGACTTGTAGGTCTGCGCATATACGCTCAATGTACTTACTTGCCTGATTCATCTGGGCTCAACCAGCTACGCATAATTCTGTTGAGCAAACGACGTAGGGCAACAACACCTTTCGTGTCTTGCAGTCTGGTAAAAGCTGCGTTCCTTCGTCCCTGACTGCACCTAAAATCTCCGTTCCCCTTGCAAGCTCCGTGAACAGCGGCATCGGACCATTTGACGCCGACAAAGCAGAAAACACCAAGTTCATCAACAGTAACTCGATGAAATCCGTCTGTGGGTATCCGAGATACCTCCTTGGCGCGATTGCCGATTGTCTGCTAGACCTCGTAAACGTACCAGCAACTGGCATCAAAACGACGTATCGTTCACTGCTTTTCGACTTTGTATCGCTAGCGGATCGCAAGACGATGCTACGACCTCTTCCACATTGCAGCTCCAAGCTGCTAGCCAGACTTGCTCTTCACTCGCAGAAGATGAGCGTTAGTGTCAGAATCAGCGGATTCTGTAGCTACTCGTTGCTGTCGCAGTCGTTGTCAATCATTCGCCTCCCGATAGGACGCGAAACGTTTTCATGTCGAGTTTTTCAACGTGATGCAAGCAGAGAGACTCAGTGCTGATCTGCCAAACGTGACATGCTCATGTTCGAACGAAGGTGTTACCGTCAACAGCAACGATCTATGTCAATAGCACACTACACCGCGGATCACCTAGCCGTCGGAGGATGATCGATATGTCGGGCAACGTGAGTTGAAGTCTCGAGTTGCTGACATCGTGTGCTCGAGCACGTTCTTAAGATCCCAGCCGAGAAATTCGGTTTGTAGCATAGTCCAAACAAAAAAAGACTGGCGTGATGCCAGCGAGTGACTGGAGCGTGTAACGAGAGAAGCGTCGGTGCAAAGTGGGCATTCCGCTGCAACATCGCGCGTTTGCCGTACATCCGCTCCGACTTGAACAAGTTTAGCCTACCGAGGCATTGCTGATCAGATCACGCGGCTCGAATGAACACTGGGTCCGAGCTGATCCGTTGTTCGCCACAGACACACACACACAGACGAAAGTTAGCTGTCGTACCGAGGGCAATCACGCCTGCACGCTGACATCAGCGGCACTGTCGTCAGCACTGTCACTGGTGCCCTCGCTTTGTTTTCTTGTCTGGGCACTCTTCGCCTTGGACGCGAGGGACGAGCTACTGATCCCGACCGTTGCTGGTACCATGAACAGCAGCAAGAGCGGCACAACCTTGGCCACGCTGCGGATAATCACAGCGGTCGCAAGCCCCGCAAAGTTTGTCTTGGAGATCTGCAAGTAGCTGCACAGCCACGATCCACCGTATGAAGCGACAGACCAGGAAAAGTTGTAGATGGACATGAGCAGCGCAAACATGGTGCCCTCGATACCCGGTGGACATATCTTGGCACACAAGACGAGCGAGGGCATGTGCTTGAGACGCGCCACAACGTCCGAGAGGATCTCGTCGCCAAAGATAAAGAATCGGTCACCGACGCCAAACGCCAAATTCAGACGCGAGACGAGCACAAACTCGGCGAACGAGACGCAGGCTGATGCCAGCTGGATGCGGAAAAACATGCGGCGAAACGGCATGTCACGGAAGTAGGCGTTGTACACAGCGGTTGTCCCAAGGAGTGTGAAGCTGCCGGCGGTGGAGATGAAGCCCAGAAACGATTTGGTGAAGCCCAACTCGGATGTCTTGAACGTGAACATGGCTTCGCCGACACTAGGGGGCAACGCATTGGACAGGAAAATCCAGAGCATGGGACGCCAGCAAATGGGGTCCACGACCACCGACGCCAGGGCGCGGCACTGGTCTTGCACAGTCCGAAGGAACCCGACATCTTCTTGTGGTACGTAAGCTGCCTCCTCAATTCGAATGGAGATCAGCATCACGCTCAGCGGACCCATTGCCGTGATGAAAAAGACACCCAGTGGACCAAAGCTATTGAGCGCGTATCCTGACACCATCGAGCCCAAGACCGACCCGATCGAGAGCGAGATCCACGACAGCGTCTGCAAGTTACCGGCCATGTCTTCGCGCTCACTGCGAGCGGCTTCAACGACTTTGCCATCAATGACCACGTCGCAAAACGCGATCCCGAGACTTGCCACCACGAGCGCAACTAGTGCCCTCTCGTACGTCACAATGAGTCCCGGCACAGAGAGCGCAAAGTAGGCCGTGGCCGCGACGGCGCTAAAGATGAGCAGATAGGACTTGCGACGGGTTCCCCCGATCGGAACGCTGTCCGAAAGCAGACCGTAGAGCGGCTTGACGATCCACGGAATCGCAGCAGTCGCCCGAAGGGCCTCGGACTGTGCTGGCAGTAACGCCAACGTCTCGTTCAGATAGTAACTCGTGCCCAAGGAGCACAGCGTACTGCGAATGCCCTGCGTCAAGTAGACACAGAAGATCTGGAGCAACAGACCGTCGCCAAACTGCAGACGCATCGACTGCCACCAATGGACGACCGCAGCTGCGCTCGAGAGTGTGCTTGGGCCCTTTTGGTCCTTCTTTGTCTCTTGCTCAGCTGCCATTGACGACACGAGCGCTTTTTCGGTATCGGAAACGGACGTATCGAATATGCGGTCGGTACTGCCACTGCCGCTTTCCATAGCGGACAACACGTCCGTCTTCTTGTTGCGTCCGCGGATGCCGTTACTTGCACGTTCGCAGTCTGGAGACGAGTCGGTCATGTCGACTTGGAGGACCGACGTGAGCGAAGAGGCTTTTGACGGACGGAGGGGGTGCCCTCGTACCCGACAGAAGTCTTCTTCTTGTCGACCTATGACGTCCTGGACGAGTCCAACCTGTGCTGGAATCAATGGTCAATGACGTTTGGACACGTTGAGAGTCAGTAGTCGTCCTCTCTGTCTATCGCTTCTTTCGTTTGGATCTTGTGCGTGCGTTGGTGGAGTATCAAATCCGAGTCGATCACTGGTTGCAGGGGGGGACGCAGCCGCTGCCACGTGCGACTTTTGCTGTCTTTCCAACAAAGTCGTTGAGCCGAATTTGGGAAACTTGTTGGAAGTTGGAAACACGCGACAGATAAAGTTTCGACATAGTTTGAGGGTACTTTCGATGAGAAAGACATGAGGACGCTGTGCTCGGGCGACAATGACGGGCATTCGTCTCGTGTGTCGATACTGTGCGCGTCCGAAATGTGCGTTTGACACTTGTTTGGCAGAACTGTAGCTACGGAGATCTGATCTCTGCTCAGTGAAGTCATTGAGACTATCTGTGGGAGTGATGGCATGGGGACAGCAGAGGTGGTAAGAGCGATCTACAGCTTTATCGTAGTCATCTACACCGACAGTCTTGTAGCTGATGCGAATGTCAAGTGTTGCTGCTGTTCGTTTGCCTCGTGTGTATTCGTGTCCGCTCCATTGTGTACCTTTCTGCCATAACCTGCTGCTGTGAGTTGCAACTGCGGAAGTTTAGCTCGTCGTTGCGTCTCACCTGCGCATCAATCCCACTTGGCATTCCAGCCTACAAGTCAGGTCCATTACTGGGATGGTTTTGTGTAACCGGTCGCTAGTCCCACAAGCCGCCTTCGGGATCGACATCCAGCACGGGACGTTTGTCCGTCGCGTGCTGTAGGCAAGATCAGGCTTGCACCTTGGATGACCTTTCATGGTATCAAGTCGATGCTAGCCGGCCAAGCGTGTCTTGCATACAGCGAACCGGGCACAAAGGCTTTTCCTCTGCGCGACACGGATAAACATCCGCTTGGTGATCTACGTCACCGAACTGCACCTCATCCATGCGGTGTGGTAGAGATTCATCCATTCTGCTCGTGACAACGGCAGTGCAGTCAGGAGATGGATGTGGCCAAATTAGGACTGAACCCAACACAACAAGGTGCTAGCATCATCCGCGAATGTGCTCGATCCTTCGATAGCCGACCAGCACACGATCCAAAAAAAGTCTTTGCGCATCACGGGTTGAGGTCCAAAGCATGTACCATACCCACTCGTCTTCGCTTCAGATCTTCAGGCACAAAAGCACGTCCTATGACATTCGATGTCGTTTGGACTCATGTCCTTTCCAATGGCGTTCTGCCCGATCGTGGTTCACGCTGACCTTTCGAGTCGTGTTCAGACACAGCCGAGAAGAAAGCGTCATCGATAATGCCGATGCACACCATCAAGACAACGTAACTGAACAGGATGATGTAGCTGTAAATGTAGATTTGCCCGATCCACGGAGTATACGCGACGTCATTGAATGTATCGTAAATCTCGTCTCCGTTCGCCACGGAAAATAGTGCGGTAGCTGTGGTGCTCGCACTCTGAAATCGAGGCACTTTCGTACCAAACATGACGGTTCCAAACAGCACAAAGCCGACAAATATGGGCAAGACGCCCGCAAGGAACTGCAATACTCGCGGCACACCGCGCTTCAGCGTGATTTCAAGTATGTGGAACCGCGTGTTTACCCGGAGATAGCGCACCAGGCTAGCCCACTGCAGTGCGCAGCAGCAGGCAAACGCGAAGCAGAGCGAATCGTCCAGAGAGAGCTCATAAGTATTTCGCCATGCAGCTAGAAGACATACCACAGTTGTTGCACTCACTGCCAGGGAAAAGCAGAACCAAAAGTCTTTGGCCGTCCCTGCTACCATGGCACGAACGATCGAACGACGCGACCCTTTCGGATGTTCAGCGACGTTGCTCGAGACGGCTTCCCACTTTATAAAGCACTCAACGCCCTGTCATTTGCACGCATGCACGCCACCCAACACACACAGCACAACAATTGTCAGTCACGCTCTGACCCACATCGAGGTCTAGCCCACTCAACTCGCCTGGTACAGCGCAATCACGACGAGCGTGACCCAATGAAGCGTGACACTTGTGTCCAATAGCACCGGCGGTATGCTTTCTTCGCCCCCACTGCTTCTTCCGCCCTCAACGATCAACACGTGATCGAGCTTATAGTTCAAAGTGACTTCCAAATGGCCCTGGTTGAGCAAATCGTAGCGCATGGCCACTGTCCACTGGTACACTCTCGTCGCCCGCGCCTCGTCGTCCTTCCTTCTCTTCTCCTTCTTGGTCATACCCACGACAAACTTGAGCTCAATCGCATCCAACGCGTCCAAGAACGCGCGTGTTTCTTGTCGTGAAGCTGCTTCTGGACCCAGGCGCAGCGGTGCAGGCCACTGGTCACTGCTGGTCGAGCCGTTCGTGATATTGTACAGCTCGTCCCGTGCCTCGTCTCCGACATCGGCCCGCACAGTGAGCAGCGGCGGCGGCAGAAACGAGTCGGTCTCGTTGCTAAACACCACGAACGAGTCCAGCGCCACGTCCGGCAGTCGCCGGTAGTTGTCCACGGCCCCGTGCAAGTGCTGACGCATCTCTTCGATCGTAAAAAGAGCACCAACTGGCAACATCGACGCTCGGGCTGCAAATCCGCTGCCGAAGAACTCGTCGTCGACATTTGCGGCAATCTCTTCTTCGATCTCGAGCACAAAGTGCGGCAGTGTGTCACGCACTTCGTCCTCGTAAACGTAGAAGAGCAGGTGCACCCAATTGTTGGCGACCGCACGCTGGAACGGGTGCAGTGCAGTGCCGAGTCGAGCGCTGCGAAGGCTCAGCAGCAACGCGACAGTGACGTGGAGCACGACGCGCAGTGTCAGCTGCAATTGCGACTTGTGCATGAGGTCTCTCGAGAGCTTTTGGGCCTGCGGTGCGACACGCGTACGAGTCGTTTTTGCATTGGGTTGAAACCAGCGAATGGGTACAGTGGGATCACGAGAGACACTGTGTGAAGTTGTCAGGGAGAAAAAAAGGGCACGTGGTACGCTGATGGACAAAGTGGGTCCACGTCGCCTTTGCAATGAATACGCAACGAAAACTGGCGAGGGCGACTCGTTTTGCTGCGAGGGTGCAGACGCACGTCTTGCTTGACACTAGAAGGCAGCTATTGTCCGTCTGCTCTGTTCGCAGCGGTGGTAATGAGGCTTTCTTGATGAAAGAAGCTGGCGATCGGACACCACCAAAGCAGTTTCATGGCAGCATTCAACGTCGATGCGATGTTGTACATCTACGATCCTTCCCAGACATTTGTAACAATAGCCTCAAGGTACGAGCGGATCAGGTCGGGTGCAACACTAGCTTGGTCACAAGTGGAACGCGTGAGATGCTACGTGTACAAGGGGCTTGCTGGAACGTCTGGAAGATCCGTTGCCGCGTGGGTATAGTGGACGAACGAAGAATCCGACTCGACGATCCAGATGCAACTTCTCATCGACTGCCGTTGATCCAAGTTGCTGCAAATCCAGAGATTTCGATGGAGTGCACCGACAGAAGCGCTGTAAGTTCGAGTCTAAGTGAACATGGCGTCGCTAATTCGAAGATGATGTGTTGTAGAGAGCGAGACCACTCAATAAAACTCGGACAGATAAACCTGTACACCACATACTGGCGCTTTTTACAAAGAAGCGATGATACGTACGCCCGAGAGTGCATGGACTGACAATGTATAATGCAGTATCGGCGAGTGACTGACTCTGACAAGGCAGAAGGGGGAGGTACCGTCACACACTCAACGCTATGTGGTATAGTAGTTAGTTGAAGTCGTATTAATACAGTCTCAACGCACCAACACAACGATGTCGCCGAGCCAAGTCGGCGCATTTTGTTGTTACGTCGAGAGTGTGCGAAACCACCTACTCACTCTTTGGGGTTCAGTTGTGGCTCTCTCGCCTGAGCCACACAAGGAATGTATGCAAGCCATGCATCTCAACACGTGGAGTGACGCTACGTATGCTACGTGCAATCATTATGCCACACCCAGGTGGATGACTGCCGCACATTCACTGTTTTCGCTTGCACTTGGTGCACAAAGGCACTGGCTTCGACATACTGTATGCAGTTATCATAGGCACATCTTTCTAGTCAATGAAATTCTACGATAGCGTTTATGGCATGATCTTCATCACTTGGCGCGCGGCACGACTGATTCGAAACACTTCTCTTGATCGCATGTTATACCACAATTGTCATCTTTTGTTTGGAAAGCATCGGCAGACATAGATCACGCATTCGACGAATAACGTCTTACTGCGAGCCCATGGCTTTTGCAAGCAACAGGACTTTGTGGGTCTTTTTGCTTCTTACGCTACCGGCTTTATCGATACGCTTTTGGACGTCGCTGGATTTACACGCCCGGCGTCGAAGACGCTGTTTATCCGTCAAGTCATTCCGCTGGTCAACTAGCTCAACACCCAAGAATCGTCTTTACTTGGACCGGTGTTTGCACGAATAAGTGAATGGCAAGGCATGGGTGAAGTTCCAATAAATATGGTCTTACTGATGTGAAGATCACAAGCTTTCATGCGGCTTCTACTTCAATTCAACGTGCCCCAATATCGAAAACGCCGTATACTAATTTTGGCTTTGTACTGTGGCCTCTCGAGTCACGAAACTTTTACTTACTGCCAGTTCGGGATCTTTGAAAGGCGGTTTCGCTTGGTCGCACATGCTTTTTCCTTCTTCGTGAAGGCTTTTGCCTTCTGCCATCAAGTATCTTGGTCCCCGCGCTTTCTCGATTCATTTCGATATTGTTCGCTGCTGCGTCTTTCGCTCTCTTTGGCTCCATCGCAACAAGCGAGTTTACAACCCAGGGACATCTACGAACGCAGCTTTTGCTCGGCATCATTAGTCGCTTATGTGGATCTGCGCTTACGCAAATGAAGTGCGACCGCAGAGCGCAAGAAGTGACAAGGTATTTTACGCTTGTTATTGAATTGTATGCCCCAACTACTTTGGCTACAACTACTACTGCTATAAGCATATTCCTATGGCAAAACATGAGCGCAACAATGAGAACAACGGCAACAACGATATCGCAGGATTGATCAAGGCTGATTATGGCTACATATCTATGCTTCAAATACATTTTATTGATGGTAATGAGTTCAATCCGTGGCCTCTGTGCTCTTGCACGATGGATTTCCACGCTGTGGCTATTTACTTCTTTCCCTACGCTTCCGATTTGTTTTCGCCCAACTCGATCCGGCCGCACTCAATACGACCAGTAGCGTTACTGGTCGAATACTGGTTAGAGCGCTTGATTTACAGCCGATCCGCTACGTCCAGGCGGCTCCATATTGGACCGGTAGCGACGCTGTGAACTCAACCTTCCAGTATCGAAGTCGTAGCCAGACCAGGTTCAGCCACACCAATAACAATACCAAGGGTCTTCACGCAACTTTCTTCACCCGTGCCAATCAGGTCGTTGCGCACGTTCGTCGCGGAGCAATTGTAGTTCAAGTACGTTTGTAAAAACACGTCCTGATCAGCTATAGCCAAGCTATCTGGACGCAACCGACTGCTTGTCTCTCGCCAGGACGGAGAAGCCACACCCGACCGCATTCTGCGACCAAGATCCACCATATAGCAAGCATAAGGTGTCTACGCGTACACTTGCTTCAGGCCTCTTGAGGTCACTCCACACTAATATGCCGCGTACCCGCGACACGTACCAGTCTCCTTACAAAACTGGACGATAAGATTGGAAGCTTTCTTGGGTTTGCAAAAAGCTGTCCACGACGATTCGATCTTCCGTCGCAATCGACACTTCACAAGGTGGTTCAGACACGGTCCACTTCGCAAATTCAAGGTCACCGGACGCATTAGCTACACCTAAATGCAAGCATCTTTACCCGGTCGGCTGTGCGTATGATTCACGCACTCGGTCCGATTAGCTCCGCCCGATTGGCAAGCCTGATTTCCTTCTGGCATATCGGAGCCGTGTCCAATGTTGTATGAACTCATGTCTCCTGCTTTTCCTGATACCTCTACACTCTCATCTTCCATACAGGAATGGACCAGGAACTAAACGTACTAGACAAACAATGTTCCCAACAAATGCATTGTGAGGTTCGCGGCAACTGGCAGTCGTCCATTCCGTTTCTTGTATACTTCGCTGAGTCCTGCTCGAGCTGGAGCCGATCAGTCGCGGTGTCACGAGCTCTGAGATACCCACGCAACGTCAGAACAAACGTTGCACGATAGGTGCGCACAAGCCACTTTTCTGGGCTGAACCCCGCAGCTCTCAAAACAATCGGTCGGTAATGGTCTTGCAAAATGCGTTTTTGTGCCACTGCTTGTCGTCCTCTCGAGCGAGCATCTTGATCAAGATGGTATGCCGAAACAAGTGCTAGACGCGGATGTCACACGAGCGCATCGTCTCGCTCATCTACGAACGCACACAATTCCTTATACTCTCCAGTGATAAATCGTGTTCCACATTGATGTAAAGGGCGGCGACAAGGGGCAAGTTGTCGATAATGATGCCGCATCGTCCAGCTATTGCCAGAAGCGCGACGACACCTCACCGATCCTCTCTATTGACCACGGTGTCTTCTGTTGGACTGTGCTTGCAAACTAAACCAGTCCGGATAAATGTGGATCATGCAACACTCCAAGAAAAGCATGCACTATGCCGTCTTGCACGAGAGATGGGCGGCGACGACCATGATGGACCAGATCTGCAAGCGCAAAACGCAGCAAACTTCTTAGGTTCGGCAACAACGGCCAGCAAGCAGCGACGACGGCCACTAGTAATGATGGGTGCGGACAATGAGCGCGGGTAAGCGTTCGAGTACCCGGAGGCAACATGACTCCAAACAGCCGGACCAGCTCGGTTCGTTCCGCAAAAGCGTAGCGAGCGAGCGCCTGTGCAAAAGCCCACCCCGTAGCCTTCAGCGCAAGACCGTAACCTCGTCCAAGTGTTTGGTCAAAGACGAAGTGCCCCCTGTACTTGCGAAATAAACGATATTTTCACCAGACGTCACCTCACATATCGCTTATAAGCTCTGAACCACTACAAACGGTGGCCAATAATGCCTGTTCTGGACCACTCCATACGGTGGCCAAAGATATCTGCAAAGTACAGTTTGAGTGCTTGACAACTGGATGACGATCCACCGACGTCGTCTACAGATTGTGGCAGTGGTGTAAAGTTGACCGAAAGTGTGGCTTCCATTCATAAAAAGTAGATGGAATGTACATCGGCATCTTCGCCTAGATTGAATCCCCATCGATATGCTTCCTCTCGAACCAGCCTTCTCGAGATCGTTTTCATCATCGACACGGTCCCTTTTGCACGATGGTCGATTGTGTTACCGCTACCAAGGAAAGTCTTGCCATCTCGAGGTTGCCGAGACTTCTCGCATTAACGCGCTCGTGTCATGTCACGAAACCTGACCAGCACCTCACGTGACCGACTTTTGTCTACTCTCCGCGTGCTAGCAACGATCATGAACAAGGTCACCTTTACAGGGCAACCACGTTCAATCTGCATTGGTGGTACTGGGCTCGCTGTGTGGCGAACTCTTGCAGCTTTCCGATATCATGGATCAGTTGCGCAGATCCCGATCACACGGGATAGGTTCGACTAGAGATGAGGCACATCTCTAATGCGTCAATTCCTGATCACGCCGGAGCGCTGCCAGATTTGGTTTACAACGTGCTTTGATCAACTGGTTGCCGTAATTTGCTTCTGCCTCGTGCTAAGTGCAAAACAGGGTGCTTGGTTCTTCGCAGTGACACTTGATACCGTGTGCTCTTGGATATTTCCTGGTAGCGACAACAACTCCGTTCTACAATATCGACCAGCATCAATCTGGCAATAAGATAGACGTCTGCCAGCTCACTTTGCTGCGAATGCGACTAACGTGTCAATTGCACTGCTACCTTTATCACCTTCTTCAACAGACTTTTTCTGCACAGCTCTTCTCTCCATCATCTGGAATACCACCATTCAAGGAAATGATGCCAGTCTTTATCTTGTTTTGCATGCGGTAGTTCCCTGCGACCGTCGGATCACGTCCAATCATGCTTACTGCTGCTGCTGAGTTGTTTTATTGCGAGGCTTGGGCGACGGTGCCAGGTTCACAACATAGAAGATCTTCTCAGACATGTGATACGACCGTTTGTCGCCGTCGTCATACACCACAAAGTGTTCGTACGTGTCCTCGTCAAATCGCTGCACATTCCCTTCGTACCACTTGTCCTTAGCCCACTTTACACGAACTCGCTTGCCGACAAGCCGTTGTGGATTGTCGTCACTGTCGTAGAAGGTTTCCACATCAGCTTCTGGGTTTAAGATGCTGCGGATACGCGGCAGCAATTTCGCAGTGGAGCGATCGATAGCCTTGATGAGCCCCGCACTTGTTACACTAACGTTTACCCACGATGAGGTGCTATTGGGTTTCACTAAAACACTGTTGCGCTGCTGCAAACAACCGTCAGCTCCGCGATGAGCCACCAGCCATTTCTCCATCCACTCGCAGCGCTGACGGTTTTCTCGCAGCCACTGAGTTACGCCGCTGTGGCGTTTCGCGAGTCTCGTAAGCATGTCAAGTGACGTTTCTGTGGCCTTGAAGTACCGCTGCTGCGACACCATTACGGCAACCAGCTCGGTAAGGCTGTCTGTCAGACGCTTTACTGCGAGCGAATCCCGGATCTTTAGAAGCGAGTTCAGCGTGCGAAAGTATGGCTTGACGTCGTGGTGGTCCTCTACTTCAATGCCATGCATTATCGTTTTCACGAACTCGGCTGTGATACGTCGACTTTCCCAGCACAAATGAGTCACAATCTGCTCTAGCGGCTTTGTCTCCTTCGTGTAGTGATTCGCGCGTTGCGTAAGCAGAGTGATAAAGCGTTCGTTGAGAAGGACGCTATGGTCTGCCGGTGTGAGACCCACATGATCATGGGCCATGCTGGACGGAAGGGATAGCGGATGCTCGACGTCCGCTTCGACATCCATTGCAGGAGGTAAGCTGCAGCGCACAAGTACGGACAGCAGCTTCAAAATCGTGACACTGAGGTCGATGCGCTTCAAAATCTGGCTTGCCTTGTGCTTCTTCAGTTGTCGTTGGAGCAATGGTTGCGTACTTCCCATGCCCGTAAGTAGTGCCACAATTGCACCAACAACGCTATTTACAACGAGGAAAGACCCTTCGTTGCGTCCCGTTTGGACAAAGTCGTACATTACGAGAAAATACTGGCGATGATTGTGGTTCGAAACCAAGAGCAGCGCTGGCATTAACTGGATCAGGGAGAACATGAACTCGAACGACGCAGGAAGCTGTTTCTTCCCGTTCTTCACCTTTACACAAGGCGCCCGAAGCTCTTTGTCAGTCTCTTCTTCAAACTCCATGTTTGACGTGGTGGCAATGGCTTCCGATACCACGTTGGCCATCAATTCACGAACCTCACAATGTTCGTTGAAAACAAGCAGCTCCAGGAGTAGCGACTCGTTCGTCTCCATGGTCGATAGGAACCAGCGACAGCCAGCAACATCGGTATGATAGAGCGCTTGCAGAATAGGACGCCATTCGAGGACCTTGGTCACGTCACCACCTTGCCATAAAGTGCCAAACACGAATTTTGTTGCCACTTGCAGGGCCTCAAACTGCACTTCTGCTGGCTCGAAGCACGGTACGACCGCTGCTGTTGTCGAGTCATCCAGCCCAACGAGACACGATCGCAAGAGATTGTACGTAAAATTTAGGCATCGCGTGTCGTATAGATACCTTTTACGCCAAAACAGGCGGTTTTCCATCGCAATTAGTTTTCGAATAGGCTCGGGCGCAATCACGCAAGCCACACTGCGCAAATGTGCTAGCTTATTAGATGTTCTCCTCGTCAGCCGAGCACAAAACGCTGCCACAAATACAGCGCTAGAAAAGCTGATGCAGGCAGCGCTGTCTTTGTTGATGGCACGCAGCTCAGGAGGCACTCGGGCGTAGAACAACATGAAACTGCTCCGGTTTTTCATTTTCGCTGGCACAGCTTCTTCCGGCAACGTCGACTTACTATTCGTTTCATGACAATTGCGCGTTAGTTCTTCACCACCGAAACACTCATCTGGGATTTGCGATGGATCGAACGGGGTCACAACTGTATCGTTAAACTCGTACCACTGGCTCTTGTCACGTGGCGCCTGCTGGTCTTGCAAAAACGAATAATAGTGACCCGAAAGGGCCGTTCCGAGGTGCACGACAGTCCCGACAAGCTCATATTGAGAGTACTCTGGAGCCGTCGTTCTTCTGTTGCTCAGGTTGTCCGAGCATGTACTCAGTCGCATATTTTGGACGGTGGTGCCATCGCCTGCAGACGAAGCCAGTTCTTTTCTCTTCTCTTGCTGGCCTTCCTTTGTGTACGGGTACATATCCAGTTCAGTGGGAAATTCAAAGCGATCGTGAAGCTTAATCTGCTGCATTTTTTCAAAGTCGAACTCAAAGCGTTTCAGATGAATGATCAAGTACGAAGGCAGTTTCGAGATAGAGATTCGCTTGTGCGTGTCCAGTGTCACGTTAGCGCCATGTCCGCCATAATTTTCTGTTTCGCCATCAATTTTCGAGTCACTGCCTGTTTCCCACGTATAACTCACCTTTTCGCCTTCAACCCACCCATCTAGCGACTCCTTCAAGTTTTTCCGGTCGCGAACTGGTACAGAAATAAAGTGGAAAGGCTCACAGCGTTCGCTGTAGCGGTCACCTTCAGCAACAAGCTCGTTGCTAAACTCGCCTCCAAAGAACGTGTCCAAAATGTTCTCATCGCCGATGTAGTGGCCATCACTTTCGGCACTGATGCCATTCATCTCGGACTCGATCTGCTGGAAAAAAGACGTGAGAAACTCACTAGCGTCCTGCTGAACATTTACGTCCACGCTTTCACCATCCCACGTCTTCATTGCGCGGACGAATGGCAGCGGGTTGTAGTAGGGCTTGGCACTGCCCTCCAGATGGGCGAATAACGATTGCAGCTCATACGTCAAGCTTGCGGTGCTGGATTTGGTACTACTTGATCGGAGCCGCAAGATGTGGTGGCGAAAGCGCGGCATCATGAAAAAGCTCTGTATCGTCGAATTGAGATAGCAAGTGCATCCAAGGTTCTTCAGACCCACGAACTTTTTCCGCTCAAGTGACCGATCTTTGGACACCTTTGAGCTCTTCTTTTTTGACATTGACACTGCCGATGTTTTGATGCTGGCACCTGGAGGGCGTTCCAGTGTGTGCTGATTTGCTATTTGCGTCAACAAATAGCGCAAGCCATCGGTGTTGTCAACTGAGAGCTCCCGAAGTAGCTCGAACGCAATCTCGCGGCATGTGTCGCTACGACACTTGGGTTGCTGAAGGTAATACTGTGATAAAGATAACGCCTGAATGTCAGCATCCCCATCGTCCATTCTGACGCTCTCAGTCTCACCGTCCGTCTGCTTGTCGGATGAAGAAAACAAACACTCGTGAAACAGCTCGTTTATAATGCCTTCTTCTACGTGGAGGGTTTGCACAATAACCTCACGCAAGCTGCGACCGTCACATGGCGCATCATGAACACCATCCGCCAGCACTGCCGGGATACGTTTCATGATGGCAAGCAACGTAGACAATAGTCCTTCGAGAAGTGCGTCGGGAGAGGAAGAAAAGGCGGGACTGCTCGGTGCAGGTCCAGCTGATATCCTGCATCCACTCTCTTCCATACTGCTCCTTCGAGCCGAGAGAAACACAGGACCTGCCGACTCATCCGGCACGTCGTCGCTGACTCGAAACGCCTTTATTCGACGGCACAAAATTCGGCAAGACTCGAGTATCGCAAACTCGGTCAAATCCTTTGCGTTTGTTACGAGTAGCGTGAACACATTGTAGTACTCTCTGTCATTCACTGCCCCGGCATATCCACCTAGTAGACGCAAGAAGTAGTTGCAACACGCCACTCGGTCTTCTTCATTCTTGTTTTTAGTGGTCGAAAGGGCAGCAATCGCGTTCGCAGCTTCTAGCCGAACAGGCTCAAAGCGGCTCTCTGCCAAACAGCGAAGTATGATGTCACCGTGCCCTGGACAGCTCAGCAGCAGTGACAATGCACCTTGCGTAGTTACCAGCGCACATGTCGCAATACAGGAAAGTAAACGGGTCATCAAATGGGCATCACTCGGGATATTGCTGATGTTGTCCCGGTCTTCAACCTGCGGGCGATCATACACAGTTAGTGCGAGAGGCTCTGTCTTGTTAAGCCGATCTCTTCCTGCATTTACAAGCTGTAGTTGTGATGACATGCTTGTCTGAGAAAGCAAGGTGACTAGATCAGCTTCTTCGGGCTCTTCATGAATGCTTTGAAGACTCTTCAGCATTTCCAAAAGATGACAATTCAACTGTTGCAAATTCTTCTCTACAGTCATACCACCATCTCTCGCCAACTCAGATTCGACCAGCACAAAATGATGCAGCAGCTTCAATAGTTTCGATAAGCACATGACCGACAGTGTTCCTTGTGCGAGCAGCTGGCATGAGCTCGACGACAAAACAAACTTCTCGAGCTGTGTCCGACCGCCGAGCTCGAGAAAAGATGCACTCCACGTATTGACTGCACCAATCCCCCCGTCAGTCCTATCCCCACCACCATTATCTGTGTGCATCCAGTTGTCCCCCTCGGCGTTTCCGTCCTCATCGTCATGGCGTCCATCGCCACACAGCGCAAATTTTTCCACTGATTCAAGTTGGTACAATAATTTTGCAGCGCATGTCAAATCCAGCACCGTATCCCAATCGAACGAGCTCAATGTCCCGCGGATGGAGCCATCAATCGCTAGCACGCCGTTCAGCAAACGCATTTGCTTTTCTATATCCTCATTTGGCGTAAGCAGTTTGAGCACCTTCCAGGCTTCCTCAGCAATTCCATTGTTGTAAGACAACAGATTGAACATGAGTGCTAGCCAAGTGTCATTGCCTGATATCTCCGTTTTGATCGCATGCCAATCGCTCTCTGGACCGCTGATATTTCCAGCAGCAGCAACCCCGGCTGTTCCATGAAAGTCCAGAGCGCTACGATTGCTGTGGCCGCTCGTGTCACTTTCCACTTTCGACAGCAAAATTGCCTCAACATAGCTCGTATGCTTGGACGTCCTATTCGGCGCAGCTGGTGCAGTTTGCGTTAGTGACCGCCGTGGAGATATTCGTGAAGACACAGAGGATGGACTAAATACACGCGCCTTCTCAAGCGTAAACTTTCCATGCCCTTGCGCTGTTAGTTTGGTCTTTGCAGAATTGACGACGCGGACTCGGTCGGCTGGATGGCCTGTGTCCTTGGCGATCCGATCACGTAGCTCTGACACGAGGGACGTCCGCCTCACGTAGTACTGAAAAGGTGCCGCGACTCGACCACCTTGCGTCCGGACGTAGACTGTTAGTCCTTCTGGTCCAGAAAGCCCTCCGCTATCGTGAGACTGTACAACCGATTGATACAGAAACGTGCTTAGCAGCACTAGTAGACGAAAAATCTCACGTGTCTTTGACGCGTCGATGACTATGCTCTTCACCGTCTCTTTTAGTCTGCTGAGACACCTTGCCACGAAATCGGCCCAGACCTCGCGCCGGACAAGTTTTGAGCCGACGTGAAGCTGCAAATAGATCAAATAATTGGTTGCCTGCTGACTCACACCGTCGTCGTCCGCGAACAACGCCACGTCATACAATATCTCTAGACCTTGTAAGTCCAGCGCTTCGACGACGAACAGACCAGTCTCGACCTTATCGTTTGGCGTGCTTCGCGACGGAGCGCTTCGAGCTACACCGGTGGAGACGATTCGCCTCGCGCGCGTGTTGACAAACCGAAACAGCCGCTCCAACACCCAAAACGACTCCTTGTTCATAGTCCGCAAGTCCAACCGGATCTGAGTATTACTTGAGGCTGTGCTAGTGCACTGTGGCTCAATCAACGACTGGAACATCTCACATACCACGGTCTCGGAAAACCCCGTGTGTCCTGAGTATGCTCGATGAACGAAGTTGTTGGGATCGGGGATGACCGTGGTCAACCATGCAAAAAACACTTTGCGCTCCTCGGCTGTGCTGTTGGGACCATTTAAGCACATCCATAGCTGGCACACTGCATCATACGGCAGCTCAAGATCGGACCTGGTCACGATGTACCCTAGAAATGCTAAGCGCTTCTTTATAGCTGCGATGTGAGTTCTAGCGTGATCTTGATCGTTCATATGCGGCGCAGCAACGCAATCTTTGATCGCCTCGACGACAACGGACACGATATTGTGCATACTATTCAGTTCTTTGAGGAGTCCGCTGGGTGTCGGAGGAGGAGTGTTCGCTCTTGTCAACGCCAATGTCGAAGCCGCTAACGAGGATGTGCTTCCGCCACACCCGTCCACAATTCGGTAGATTAAACTCATGGATGTTTCCACCAGTGTGCCAGATATGATGTTCTCGGCGCACTTCCGGATGTAGTCGCCCAGCAGCTGTTGCTGCTCTTTTCCCGACGCAACTGACGATACTCCGGCAGAAAACCACAGCTTTTGCACGTGGTTCAATGCGTCAGCCAAAGCTGTCTCCACATCGCTTCGTATCGAACCCCGCAGCCCGAAAGTCGTACTCACCCCCTTTTCGGTCGGCATCTCTGTCTGAAAAAGCGCATTCCAGTACAGCATGCAACATAAACTCACGACCTTGTTCAAAACCTCAACATCTTTTTGAGCGCAAGCACTGAGCTTCTTTGGTCCAGACGCAACACCAACGAGGGACGTCAGTGTCATCTTAGGACCACCCGTCTCCGTGTCGACTATAAGCTTAGAGACAATCATGATAACACGCTTGATGAAGTTCACCATAAGCTCGTCATAGTCACTTGGAGGTACTTGTGTCAGAAGCATCATGACAACATCAATCAAATCAGCTGACAAACCACTACAAAGCGATATCAAGGTATCGAAAACTGTCTTTCTGCCTGAATGCAGTTGACCTAGCGCGGTTTTCCACATCAACACAATGTGCTGCTCCGTTAAAAGACCATGACCCGCGACGAAGCCAAATATCGTTTCGGAACGCTTCAGAAGTTCCAAATGAGCTCCCTCTTGAAGCGAGTACTTGGTACAGCTTTCACGATCGCCCAGAATCACCTCTAGAATGTCAGATGCCACTAACCACTCTGCAATGTATGTTGTGCGCAGCCATTTCGTCACGGGCTGTTCGCTGAAAGTTGAAGCCTGTAAGGACGGCGTAGCACTCAAAGTAGTCGTGCTCTCAGACGCCGCTGTGCTTATCGATGAAGAGGTGCGCCACGATGTCGAACCTGCCTTTTTTTGTTGCGTATCCTTTCGTTGAGCCATTGCGATCAAATTGTTGATGCGCGATATACCTAGGAGACGCTGCGACAAGTACGGGCAACAAATGAGCTTTTTCGATAGATCCAGGTGAAAGGTCTCAATTGCTTCAGTAAACTCCGCGTCGCACGACAAAGCGGAAGCATTAGCAACGACAGGTTTGTCTATCATAGTCTCAGAGCTGGAGTCACCGAGCAAAAGTCCATCACGGCAAAGTAAATCGAGCACACCCACGATCAGATCAATAAGTCCACTGTCATCTTTGAGCTCCTCTCCACTCATACGGCGCAGCCGCGAGAACGTCGCATTCAGAAAGTCCCGGAAAAAATCTTCGGTCTGAACTTCGGTTGTCGAGCGACGACGAGCTGATGAGCGACTTTTTTGCTGCGTAAGACAAGGTTTTGCCCACCTCAGAATCGTGCAATAGAGTAACACTTCGGGCAAAGCAACTTCTGCGCCCTCCAGGCGCTCGAGAATCAACCGAAAGCCGCCCGCTTGCACAAACAAGTCGACGTTGTCAACGAAGTAAAGAGATCGACACGGATGGCGAGCTGGGAGTGATGCCAATGCAACTGGACTCACCAAGTACGAGGTATACACCAGACGTTGGCATTTTGCCGCAGTGTAAGTTCCAGGATACTTGATGTAGAAAAACACACACGAACTGTGTCCGTTGAGGATCATTCGCAAGATCGACAACATGTGCACGATAACACTGCCCGCGTCGTTGCCAAGCATACACGCCACGACATTCTTGAGCACATGCTGGTAGAATGCGTTCATTTCGTCGGCAAGATCGCTCGACAAAAACGTGCTCAGCAGTGACTTCTCAATGAACGGGATCAACAATCGCGGTAGATACGACTTTTGCTCGATGCGGTCATAAAAGCACTTGTCAAACTGTTCCCGCGCGTGGTGCAAGTCCTTCATATTAACATTCCATAAGACCCCCTGCTTGCGCGGAAGCGGGTACGCCGGGGACATGTACACGTGTGTATGCTTGCCGAGCTGGTCGACGCGGTTCCCACAGGTCAAGCACGACAACACCTCGTCGCGTCCTTTCCGCCACGCCGGGATGTGCACACGAATGTCCGACGCGGTTTGGTGCATGATCTGCGCCACGCTCCACTTGTTCGACGACAGGTCTTTGACATCGATCCAACTGCCGACTTTCTGGTTCACTATCGACCACTTGGAGTCGGAAAAGTCGTCACGAGCCAATCGACGGAAACACACGTACGTCCGCAGCTCGTCTGCAACACAACATACCAACACGACGTACCCGAAACTGTTAGCGCCGCTTCGACTGCACGTCCTGTCACTGGTGCACCAGCCCCCCCACACGCACACACAAACGGGTCAACTACAACACGCACTCTGTCCGTCGTCGACGCTCACGAGCGGCTCCTCGATCGCCTCAAAGCCCTCTGGCACGTCCCTGAGGTGCCGCACGACGCGAATCTCCTTGAGCGGCAGGAGCTGCTGCGCTTGCGGCTGCTCGGGGGCCGACGGCGCCGTCGGAGCCTTTACTTTGGTCACGCGGTACCATAGAAAGCGTCCGTTCTGCCGGTCGATCGACTTGTCGAGTTTCGTCCACTCGCTGCCCTCTGGTTCGCTGCCAATGCGCAGCTGCGTGATGGCCAGGAAGGATTCAGAATCAGACGACGACGACTCAGACGACTCAGACGACGCGGGAGGCAGCGGACTCAGCGACGATAGCTTGTACCAGAGATACGTGTGGGGCGCGACCTCGGCAGCGGCGCCCTCGGCGGTCGTGACGCGGTGGAAACCTCCTCCGGCCGCCAGCGCGTTGCCATACGTCACTTCGAACGCGCTGATGAACGCGCAGTGCATTCCGAGCGTCGAGCAAGTGGCCCGTGCGTGAGTGTGTGTCTGTCCCCCCCCGCTGTGTCGTTGGTGTTGTTCGTCTCGTGCGGACTCAGATGCTATGAATAGATCAGCTGATGCAGATGCGCGATCCCGTGGAACCACGTCGTCCGACATGCCGAGCGGTGATTGGCTGAAGAGTGGCAAGAGGCGCAGGGATATCAGATCCCAACGTGAAGCACCGAGCGCTGAACGAGCATTCACTCCTCTGAACAGGAATGTTCACCGCTCTGAACAAGAATACGTGCCACCCTGAACAAGAATACATGCCACCCTGAACAAGAATACACAACCACGACCGTTACAGTCCCTTATTCTCTCCTCTCTCTCTCTCTCTTCTTTTCGTCCCCTAACGTCGTCGTCAACGCACGTGCAGCCGTCAGGTCCAGAGCGGCAGCATCGAGTGCACGCCGCACAACCAGCGATCGCACTTGTACGTTGCTTCGCGTGTAGCTCGCGTCCGACATTCGCGCTCAGCTGGCAGTGCCTTGGACGGACAGGGGCTGGGGACGCGCAACGCCGGTGGGTTCAGGTACGAGACCACGCCTTCCATCATGAAAAGGTTCAGCGCCTGCACGCGGTTAGTCACGAGATGATGCTGTCGAACGTGCTCCATGCCAGTGCGACGGATCCGGTCGATCGCGGGCCAGTTGTGCTCGTCACTTGCCCACCAGATGATCGCCTCGGGGTCCCGACGGTCGTAACCCACGTAATGCTCGCCATCGTTCATTCCCAATGCAGCAAGCAGCGGCGCAATGTCGCGGTCTACAGCCAGCAGCGCTCCCGTCGATGGGATCTCGAAAATCTTGGCAACGACGTACTGGAAAATCGACGTTGTGGTGATGGCAGTGCGGTACGAACGCAGGTAGGACGCATAGATAGCAGACTGATTGTCGCTGACGTAATAGCCCGAGTGCGGGTACACATCCATGATACGTTGGTGAGTTTGTTGGTACATGCCCAGCCAGTGGCGCAGCGGATACCAGCTCGAACCAAGCTTACCAGAGAGAATGATCTTGTTGATTGGGTACTCGTTAAACGAGGCATTGACGAAGTCCGGGCCGGACGAGTGGGGCAACCAGACTGTGACGGGCAAATCGCGCTCATTCACCAGGTTGGTAACCGCAGCAAAGTAGTCGTCCATCAAGTACGTATACGTGCTCACGAGCACGTCCACCTTGGTCAGAATGCTGTCGCGCAGGACAATGGGATTAAACTGGTCGTAGTAATGCAAGTCGTCGTTCCACACGGCCACGATCGTGCCCAATGCACGCAGCTCATGGAAGTATGCGCTGTACTGCTGCAGTAGCGCCATGGGCCGGTAGAACGAGTTGAGGCAGAAGAACATGACGCTCGGCGCTCGTTTCCGATCCATGTCCATGATCGCCTGCATCGGGTCCACAGACGTGTCCAAGTCCTCCCATCCGTGATGGCTCTTGAGCCCCTCGAATAGCGCCAAAAACGAGCGGAGCACGTACCCTTTCCACACCGACGTGCAGCCAACGAGCAATTTGCGTCCATTGGTCCGTTTTCTACGCTCACCGACCCACGCCTGGATCTCTCTCGGGTCCAATGCGGACGCTGGAAACAGCTTTCCCTCGGGTCGTCCTGTCAAGTCCTTGAGCTTCTGCATGTCCACGTCCATCTCGTGGTAAAACCCCAGCTGTCCATTGTGCTCACGCGGCGGGACAAAATAGCCGCTGAACCGCATGCGACCCACGACTTCCAGCGCCGTCGCACCAATCACCAGCACCAGCAGCAGCAGCAGCAAAAGCAGCAGCAGTACGCCCTTCCATCGTGCAAGTAGGACCGTCGTCTTCAAGCGTCGGCATTTCAGCCAATCCGCGACGCTGCTTCGTCGACCACTGCCCGGTTTGCCCTTGTCCTCGTCGTCAACGTCGACGTCCTTGCGCTCGTCCTTCGCCTTGCGCCGCAGCGCAGTCACGGGGAGCAGCATCTTGCTATTGCTGCTGCCTGTCGAGCGCACGTCCAGTAAGCTGTCCAGCTCCTCCTGCGAGTCCCTGTCGGACGCGCGAGCAGCGGCGCTACCGAGACGCTCGTGCATTGTCCGGTGGCGGGTGACGTGATTGGCTGAAATCGTGTGATGAGAGTCGATACCGAAACGCAGTGGAAGCGTTGGAGTGTACAAAACACATCATGTCGCACGTGTTTCGAGCACCGAAAAGAGAAAAAGGCTACGAAATCGTTTGGCCGACTGTGCGGATTGTCGAAAGTTGACCCATTTTATGTGAGCGTGTGGTAGGAGTACCGACCGAGTACAAAGCTGTAGCAGCATTTTGGTACAAACGTCGGGGATGGCAAATGTGGTGAAAACTGGTGGAAAAAGAACGAGTTAAGACGGAGTTCGCTCGCGTACGACTGAAGTGTGCGCGTCTCAACGAATACGTTTCGTGCATCGAGAGTGATGAGTAGACGGCATCGTACAAACCGACGTTTGCATCCATCGGCAAATCAATCGGTCACTGTGCCACCCACAACTGCTCGTTTTGTCATTGCTAACGTGCCCTATCAGATGCTCGATCTTGGCGCTCTTTGTGGCGTATAGAACGTGTCCCTTGCTTACATGACAGATTGGGTCTGTCGTAAAAGCGCAGCTTTCTAGACAGCTTCACATTGTTGGTATCCCTTCTGGCTTCACCGCACTTTGTAGGATGTGCTGTACAAGACCCCCACAGCTTCATGATACACAGGTAGATTCTGGAGGTACATCGGATCAAATAATCGATGTTAGCGCGGTCCGATCGATGTGCTTTTGTCGTTCGCGAGTTCTTTACGTCATGGGCGATGTATGTCACTTGTGTCGTGTAAAATTCGTTGCAGTCTGGTGTTCGCTCTGTCAGAAAAAGATGTCAAACGATCGATCTGATAACACATAGCAAATCTCGATGTTGTGCCTGAACTTAGGGATGATCTGGTCTTTTGTGTCGCGCCTCAATAAGTGGCATAGCTCATGTGGTATATAGATGGATTGCACATAGCGTACGTTGCACTTGTTTGATGCATGACATGCGGATAGTTGTAACTTTACGGTCATGGCGAACGACGCTGTTAGTACAAGTGGTACTGCTTTGGTCGGTCTCGAAGCCATGCCACATCCAAAAGTAATCTCTGGTGCGTTGGTAGCATGAGTTATCGCGTACACAAACGTACTGGCCGCATGCCGATTGTAAACGATAGACCATCGCCTGCTTCGCAGCACCACAGTTCCGCGGCGTCGCGTCTATCCCGAGTAAGGCGATGTGCTTGCCGGAGGCACCGGCGACCGACGTGTCGAGTGGAAATCGTCGCCGGAAGTTTTTGTTACCGACTTGAAGCTATAGCAGACTCGTTGCTGCTTTGGAGTAGGCGCTAAGCGAAGATAGTCATGCAGCATCGTCCGCCCCACATCTGCACTCGAAAGTTCCACCACTTATCGGGCCTGACGATCCCGTTTCTGGTGAAGCCGAAGCTGTTCGTCGCGCCTCATGTATGACCAATGATCAGAAAACGACCACGTTATCGCCAACGCTGCGTAAAGCTATCACAGCATTCCAACTCTCGGGCTGAGCTACGAACTGAGCTAAATTGCACGAAGAAGTGACCAACTTGCCGTCTCTTTATCAGTCACGAAGCCCTTGGGGCCTCAATTTCAACTCGCTGCGAAAGTATATGGCGCGTCGACAGCTGTCGTTCGATTGTAGTGGTGAGATGACTGGTCCACTGGTTGGGCATATGCAAATGCTCGAGGCGCGATGAACGAGCACAACGCTCACTGTCTTCGCCACTGTCGTGTCATTTTTCTATCACTGTCGTACCGTCTTCTTTGATCGAAAATGTCCGAAAGTGACACTCCCGCTTTCGCAAAACTGTTTAAAACACAAGTCTTTTTCGCTCGGCACCTCTCATACTGCCTATTTGCGCAACCCCGCACACCCCATCTGACATATCAACGGCATCGGACATATCTCCGAATCCAATGGCCACCACGAAGAATCCGCGCGTCCTCGCCCTCTTCGACGTGGATGGCACGCTCACGGCCGCTCGTAAGACTGCGACGCCCGAAATGCTGACGCGTCTCGAGAAGCTGCGCGAGCGCATTACAATCGGTGTCGTCGGCGGCTCGGACCTCGTCAAGCAAAAAGAACAGCTGGGCAGCGACGGTATGTCGTGGTGGGGCATATCGTTTCGCTGCTGATATGCGTTGATTTTTCACGTTTTAACGCTTAAATGTCCAGTGGTCAACAATTTCGACTACAGCTTTTCAGAAAACGGGCTCGTGGCTTATCACAATGGAGAGCTCGTGGGCGAGACGGTAAGAAGAAGTGGCTCCCTGTCTATCTATCTATCTATAAAACACAAAAAAAATAAAAAACCATCTTTTCGTCTCATAGTGTGTGGCCGTGTATACTGATGGCACGTTTGCTGCTGCTGCAATAGAACCTCAAGAGTCAGTTCACCAACGCACAGCTCAACCATCTGGTCAACTTTTGCTTGCGGTACATTGCGGACCTGGACATTCCCGTGAAGCGCGGGACGTTCGTGGAGTTCCGCATGGGTATGATCAACGTGTCTCCCATTGGCCGCAACTGCTCCCAGGAAGAGCGCGACGAGTTTGAGCAGTACGACCACATCCACAAGATCCGTGAGGTCTTTGTCGAGAAGCTCCGGGCCGAGTTTCCTGAGTACAATCTGACGTTCTCGATCGGCGGACAGGTACGGGAGAGGCTATGTTGGGTCGAACTTGTGGGCCCTGGCGCATTGTTGTTGATACTAACACGTACGCCTTGTTTGCTGCGATTGTATGGACTGCAGATATCCTTCGACGTGTTTCCGACGGTACTGTTTGCTGATAGCTGCCTTCTGATTGATCAGCTCATGTGCAGGACTGATGTTCTCCTTTGTGCGTGGTAGGGCTGGGACAAGACCTTTTGCCTTCGGTACCTGGATGCAAAGGACTACGACGAGATCCACTTTTTTGGCGACAAGACCAACAAGGTGAGCTGATAAAGCGTTGTGAGCACTACTGCCTCGTCAGATAGCCAACAGATGATTCTCTTGTCTGCGTGTACAGGGCGGCAACGATTACGAGATCTACACGAGCGAGCGCACTATCGGTCACTCGGTCAAGAACCCGGAGGAGACGATCAAGATCTTGGACCAGCTCTTTCCTTAGAAACGTGTCTACGTCCGGACGCGCTACAACTCAATTCGCGCAAGGTGGCCATCATGCCGACTAAGCTGCGTGCGAAATGCGAATGATTAGCGTGTTGACAATCGTCCGTTGCCTTCGTCTTCTTCCAGCAGCACACCAGTGCCAAGCACTTTTGCCATGGGGTCGTCACCACGCGACTTGAGCAGTTTGTACGCCTCCATCTCCTCGGCATTCACCTCGCTATTGCTCACAGAGTTGTACTTGCGTTTCTTGTCGTCCTTTTCCGTGTGTCTTTTCTTCTCTTTGGCTGCCTTTTCAATGGCCTTCTTCAGCTTCTTCCCATCGAGCTTAGGAGCAATGTTCTCGCCGTACAGCTCACTGCGTTTGCTGATTACACCACCTGCCTCGGCGGACGTAGTCTCATCGGTCGATCCAGACTTGAGCTTCTCAGGCACCTTGAGCATCGCCCGCTCGGTGCTCACTAATCTTGCTTCAGCAGAGGCCTTCTTCCCATCGTCGCCCGTGCAGTACGACTTGCGGACCTTCAAGTGGCAGCAAGCATACCCCCATGCCATGTCACTGCGGTCGAACCACGAGCCCCATATACTCGTGTGGTTGTTCTCCAACGCATCCTCAATGTACTTGGAACGTGCTGGCGCGCGTTCACGGCCCTTGACAATACGACCGTCGCGCGAGTATTCGACATAGTGCTCGCTCTGCGCCAACAACAACTCCTTCGGTGGTGCCTCCAAGTGCTCCTGGCCACCGTACTTGTCCAGAATCTTGCGGCTCTTCTCCTTCTCGAGTGCCGCCTTCCTCTCTTCATACTGCTTTTTCAGAAACTCGGCCTGCGAAGGGTTGGCAAGCGAGTGAATGTCCGTGCCCTTGGCGTATGCTTCCCATGCAAAAAGCTGAGCCGACGCCAATTTCTGTGCGTCGCCTGTAAAGCGCGCCATGTTGTCTCCGACAAACGTCGTGTCTTCTGGATTCAGCTCCGGGTTCGGATTGTCGCGCATGGATCGCGTCTTCGGATCGTAATACGCCGAGTTGGGGTTCAAATTACGAAGGTACTTGGCCGTGTCTTCCCGGATCCGCAAATTCCGCACCGTCGTTTTCATCTGAGCGCCACCCACGCCTCCCTGCCGCGCCACGCGCTCTGTAAACATCGGCCCTTCATCGTAGTCACGGAACGCTTCGTCCTCCGACTGCACGTCCGACTCGTAGTCCGAGTCCGAGTCGGAACCCGACGGACACGCCGAATCCTCGTTCCCTCGCCCCACTCCTTTCTTCTTCTGCTTCTCCTTCTCCTTCCTTCGCTTCCTCTTGCTGTCCACTGACGCCTGCAGCTTCTTGTTGATCTCTTCCGTCCGCAATTGCTTGCGCGCCGCGTCCACCTTTTCGTACCGCTCGATCGTCTTGGCATGTTCCTTCGGGTCGTAGCCCAGCCACTGGTCGCGCTTGGCGTCGAACGCGAGTTTCCCAAACTTCTCCGAGCGCACGTCCACTCGCGCGTCGTCCGTCATGAGGTTCTTGTGCGTCTTCCACGCGCCCACTTTGCGCGGCCGCTCGACGCACTCGTTCGTCTTGTGGCTCCCCGCGCCGCAGTTCGTGCACGCGCCTTTGCGCCACTTGCGCGGTCGGTCTGCACCGGCTGCCGTCGGTTTCCGGTCCTTGAGATAGAGCGCATCGGCTTCATGAATCGACAAGAGGTGCGCCTGTTGCTGCAGCGTCTGGTGCTTGAGCGACGGCCCCGCGTCGCCCAAGTACCACGGCCGCTTGCTAATGTACTCGGGATTGTGCGGGTTGATGAGGTTCCCGTCGGCGTCTTGTTCCGGCGGCAGCGTCCCATTCTTCCGCGCCTCTTCGATCTCGCGCTTCTTCTTAAAGTCGCTGCTCGACAGGCGCTCACCTCCTGCAGACGCCATGTGCGGGCGGCGACCTCCGTCGAGTGCGTGTACGACAAGCGCGGCGCGAACTTGTACGACGAGGACGCGGCCGTGCGCGCGTTTGATTGGCCAAAAGACCGGTCGGTTCCTCTGAGGGCCGTGCGCGCGTCTGAGTGGTCAATAAACCGTCCACTTGTCTATCGGCCGTGCGCGCGTTTGATTGGTTAATAAGCGCGAGCTCGCCAGCGTCGCGGCGGTCAAGTGAGCGAGAGAGAACGCGCGAGCTGCTTGAGGGCCCGTCCGGCGCGCGCGTGTCCTGATGATTTCGGACGTGGCGCACGTCGAGTGCATGCGGCTGCTGGAGCTGCTGACGAACGCGCGCGTGCAGGAGAGCTGGTCCTGGGTGTTCATGACGCCCGTGGACATTCCTGGCTACCACGAGGTGATCAAGCGGCCCATGGACCTGGGCACGATCAAGAAGAACTTGGGCGCTAAGCCGTCGCGCTGCCGCTTCAAGTCGCACGAGAAGTTCGCGCGGGACGTGCGGCTCGTGTTCCACAATGCGCTCGTGTACAATAAGGACGACCAGGACGTCAAGGGGTCGGTCTACGCGGCCGCGCAGCACCTTTTGCGCGTGTTTGAGACGGCGTATACCAAAGCAATCGACAGCGTGTTGAGCGCCGACGACGCGAAAGTTGCAGCGGAGAAAGAGACACATCGAGACACGAAGGAGAAGAAAAAGAAGAAGAAGACAAAGGAGGAGGAGGCTGGAGGCGAGGCGAGTGCCGACGAGAAGGAGAAGCGGAACGCGTTGTCGTCGACCGCTGACCACCGCCAAAGTAGCAGCAGTAGTAGCGGTATCAGCACTACCATTACGCGTCTAGAAGGGAAAGAAGAGGGAAAAGATGGGGGACGAGGAGACGAAAGAGACGATGGCGAGAGCAGCAGCAAACACCGGCACAAACACAGCAAGAAGGACAAGAAGGCAAAGAAAAAGTCCAAGAAAAAGAGCAAAGACAGGGACAAGGATCGACACTCAAGTTCTCGCTCCGGGGAGAGCAAGAAGAAGTCGCATCGAAGCGACCACGTGAATGAAAGTACAGCACCTCGTGGCGCCGGATCGGAAAGCGCTGTGGAAGGAGGTGCGTTGGCAGTGTCCAGAACGATTGATGCGACGCCCCTAGCCACGAGTGGTTCAGTTGTCCCTCTGAGCAGTAGTCTAGCGGCGAAGCAAGAGTCTGTTGTAGACCGTGCTCTTGAAAACAAAATGTCGGACTCGGAGGTGGCAGTGTGCCTCGCACTGATCACGAAGTTGATCAAGTATAAGGAGGGGAACATCAGTCCTGCAGCCCCGTTTCTCCAGCCGGTGGACGTGACACATTTCCCAGACTATCGCATCAAAGTTCCGAACCGAATGCATCTGTATGGAGTCCAAAAGAAACTTCGCAGTGGGAGCTACAGTACCATCGATGCGTTTGCATACGACATGCGTCTGATTTTTGCGAACTGTTTGGTGTACAATAGCGACGTGATCTTGAGCAAGGTGATGCGGAATCATGCAGTAACTCTGATGAAGCTGTTTGAGGGTCTGTTTGCGAAAATTGGTGGATCATGGCCGGGCATCCCAGAGCGATGGAAGTGTCACCAGATCATTCACGACATTCTTGCGCATCGCACGGATGGTCAGGAAACTGCACAGTGGTTCAAGTATCCCATCGAGGCTTACTATGACTCTCCCGACCAGATCCCGTACAACTACTACGAGACGGTCAAGGAACCGATGGATATTGGCTCGGTGTCGTCAAAATTGCACCTGGGCAAGTACAGGCACGTTTCCGAATTTGTAGCGGGCTTGAAGCTAGTTTTCGATAACTGCATTCGCTACTGGAAGCCTGATCCACAAGGGCAGACGTACTGCAAGTCTGCGGAGACTTTACTAGAGGTGCTGCACACGCGAAGGGCTATACTCAATGCGTCGTCGAGCAACGCCGGATCGTCCAGAGAAAAGCACCACTCTTCGTCTACATCGTCGGCAAAGACCAGGACTGTCTCTGCTAGTCCACATTCTTCGTCTGCACAACAACCGTCGGCAGTCATGACCAGCGTGCCCGGTCGTGAGCGTGAACCGACCACGAAGAAGGCATCGTCGTCTTCAAAGTCCTCAAAGACGTCGAAGTCATCGAAGTCTCGTGATTCGAGCGGTGGGTTGCCCGAAAAGGGCGTATGCTTAGGAATCATGAAACAACTACGAGGCCACAAGATGAAGGGCTACGGTGGAATCGAAATCAAGACGGCTGGCCCTTTTTTGACTGCTGTGGATACGACGAAGTATCCTGATTATCTCGCGATTGTCTCGGAACCTATGGATTTTGCCAAGATTGAGCGCAAACTGAAGAGCGATCGGTACGGCAGCGTCGACGAATTTAGCGCTGACGTGCATTTGATATTTTCGAACTGCCACAAGTACAACAGTGATCCGGTGGAAGGTGCTGACATTCGGGCAATGGCCACGAACCTACGCACGCATTTCGTGAAGCTTTACAACGAAAAGCTGGGTCCTCTCGATGGCATGGTAAATGGATCGATTGATTCGCCGACATTTTTAGTCCAGACCCCAACAGTTCCGTCATTCCCAGCTGCACCGGCTCCGAAGCCAGCAGTGTCAACGGGAGCTATTGACGCGAACGCATGTACTGCCACGACTGGGAAGGGGTCTTCCTCGCTTCAGAAAGCAATTAAAAGGTCTCCTAGCAAGGACTTGACATCGACTCCATCAGTGGCGTCTTCCAGCAGCGCGAGTCCTACTCGGGAACCAAAGAAGGACAAATCATCCACTCGCAGCAAAAACGTGGCCAAGGTGGATTGTGCTGTTGTCACACAAGCACAACCAGTTGTTTTGCTGAAGCCGATGATTCAAGAAGAACCAGAGCCCGCCGCTATCTCGGAAAGCTATTCATCTGCTACGACTAAGGAAGTGTTCTGTGGTAGCTCCAATGCAGCAGGTCTCACTCCCGAGGAAGCTAAGAGGTTGCGCAAAGAGATGAAAGAGAAGAGAAAAAGAGAGAAGAGGGAAAAGAAGGAGAAGAAAAAAAGGGACAAGGAGAAAAAGCGCGAGAGAAAGGAGAAGAGCAAGCTGTTGAGCTCCGTCCCACAGGTACGCCATGCATTACGGTTACCGTGTCTACGTGTTGTAATGAACATTGTTGCCTGACATGCGTGCGTTTCCTACAGGAGAGGGCATTGCCCGCTAACAAGACAGGCTCGACAGCAGCAGGTGTTCCACCTCCTCTGGCCACAGCTACAGCAGCAGAACATGCCCCGCCTGTTGCTAGGTCTGCCACTCCTGCTGGGGTAGCCGCCGCGACCGCTCCGGTAGCGATTGCTTCGAAGCGAGGTTTGGCAGAGCTTCATGGTACGGCCAGTTCGGTACCGAGCAAAAAGAGCAAGAAACACAGGAAGTCAGACCTGTCTTCATGGGAGACTCCCTGTGAGCGCGTGCTGAATCGCTTGGGCAAGATCGAGCAAGTGATGAAGTTACACTTCAACCACCCTCTGCTGGAGGTGTTCCCACAACTCACCAGCGAGTACACGGCTCTGATCAAAGAGCCAATGGACTTGCGGACGCTGCGCGAACAGCTGCATTCTCATGCACTAACTCCGGCTGAGTTTTTGCGCAAAGGTCGCCTTACTTTTCAGAATGCTGTCAAGTTCAACTGTGCTGATGATCCAGCTTCGATTCAGGTGCGCAACATGTCGACGCATCTGCTGTGGTACTTTGATTCGCTGTGCGCCGAGCTGCAGATTCATCCGGCACCAGGAGAGCAGAGTCGTGCAAAGCGTGATGAGCTAAGGCGTGAGCGTGCAGAGTTCGTGAATACCGTGCCGGTTGAGCTCAAGGCCAAAGAGTGCCAAAAGCTGCTCCGGGTCCTCAACAGTCAGAAACACGACAAGAATTGCTGGCCGTTTCGGAAGTCTGTTCGCGTGCTGTTTCCATCCTTGTCGCCGGACTATTTCGACATCGTCAAGACTCCTATGGATTTGTCTACCATTGCGGGGAAGCTGAATGAGTTTGAGTATAAGGTGCACGGCGAGTTCATTCGAGACGTGCGGCTGACATTCGAGAATGCCATGGTGTACAACCGTGCTGACAAGGATCGCGAAGGATGGAGCGTGTATACAGCAGCTTCGCATATGCTAGCAGTGGTGGAAGATCTATGGGGAGACGTGACGCTGGAGGTGACGGAGAAGGCTCGTCGTCGTGAATTGTTGCGTAAGGAGCGCATGAATGAGTCGAAGCGAAGACGGACTGATGTCTCTGAAGTCATTGGCGACCGTGAGAACAGCGTTCACAAACACGACCGTCACTCGACTGGCGCGAGCGAGCCCGGACACAAACTCAGTAAGCACCACCACGAGCCGAGCGGACATCGAGTAGAAGAAGGTGCTGGTGCTGCATCTGTAGCTGCTGGTACAGCGTCGAGAGTGTCGCCTTCGCCACCCGCAAAGAGCACGGGCTTTGCAACTCCTGGTGCCACCGGACATTCTGTCGTCGGCACGATAGTTGTCGGTAACGGAAGTGGCTCGCGCGATGACAACGGCGGTCCGGACGCGACCGCCACCCGAGTCAAGTTGCAACTGATGCCGAACAGGCCGAACATGGAGCGCATGAACAAGCAGGAGCGCAAGGCCGAAGAAAAGAGGCGGAAGCGGGCTCGACGTGAAGAGGAAATGGCACGGACAGAGAAGAGGCGTCGAACCGCTGTAGCAGCCACCGACGACGCATTGCGCGAGGCTGAGATCCGTAGTCGTCGCAAGCAGCTGAAGTTGGAAATGGCCGAGGCAGTACGTCTGCGTGAAGAACGTGAACGCCGCCTCGCGGAAGAGGAAGCTGAACGGGTCCGTCGGCAACAGATGAAGCTCAACGCTGCTGCTTGGACAGGTGTCTTGGTGCCAGCTGCGGGTACTGCTGCATCGCGTAAACGATCAGGTTTCTGGGCCAAGAAGCACGCAAAGCTGCAGATACCTCAGGCTTTCCAGCCTCCGGCTATCAATGCTTAGGCTGCACGGCACCTACCGGTCGGTCTGTGTGCTAGTAGTAGTATGCATGCATGCATAGTCACGTCTGCTGCTTCGACACAGAAGGGCAAGTGCCTCTTCCTCAATCACAATTGGCACGTTTCTTATGCAGAATGCCAACTTTTTATTCACTTGGCTTGCTCAAAGATAAAAAGCATCCATTCGATCAGGTGAGAGGACCTACTACAGACCAATGTCAGCATCGTGTCTACTACTCCTCCGTCGGTCATCATCGTTCGCTCAAGTTCTTCGTAGTCGTTGTCCTGCGGGGTGGGTGCAACACCCTGCAGAGTCTGTTTTGATTTTTGTGTTATCTCCCGCCCTTCCTCTTCCTCCGGGTATGCGGCAACGAGTTTGCACGTGAACCTTGCAGCTCACTAGCTTGCTCGCCCCTCGTTCCAATCAAGATCGCGGTATTTTTCCTTCGTCCTGCTCTCCACTTGCGTTCCGCCGTGCTCCTCCTTGTTTCTCCTTCCGTACTTCTTCCAGCAAGTACCGTTTACGGGTGCTGTATGTGCGGCTCTTGTTGGTTCCCGCCAAAGTTAGGCTCAGCCAAAAGGCCCGCTTCAAAGCCTTGCCAGCCATACTTAAAGTGGTACACATGTGGACCCGGCGTTTCTTCCCCACCGCACGTATGGTAAGTGCCGCTGCACAGGCACGTTGGCGGCGGTGCTACCACCGCATAATTGTTGCTGGGGGAGCACGGTGATGGACATGTCTCCAGTCCATAGCCCTTTACGAGCGGAGTGTGCATGCCAGTGGGGTACAGATCAGCCACATTGTTCGGGCGCAACAGGCCACACGCCAGGTGACTAGGCACCACAACCTGGGACTGGATGAACAGCAGCTCCTCCGTCGGCACTTTGACCCAGCGGTCCTTGGCCTGCGTGCTCACAGCCTCCAGGTCGCACACACCGTAGGCAAGCACATACAGCCACGACTTGCACTCCCACAGCACGTTCGGGTCGAGCTGCAAAAACTGCGCGACAAACATAAAGTCCAGCGCTGGGTCCACAAGCAGCACTGCCGCGCCAGCCAGCACACTGGGCCAGTACTCGATCGCCTGGTAGTCAAGCAGCGCAATGTCCACCAGACGAATCGCGTTCACAAACAGCTCTTTTGTGCCCGATAGATTGCGTGCAGGATCGACAAAGTCGCCCATGGTGTCCAAAGGGCGCTGGTCAGCCGAGCCACCAGCTACCATAAACAGCAGCCACGCATACGGTGTCGTGGGATGCAGATTCCACTGCAGCTCCTACAACAGCAGCAACAACAACAGCAGCAATAACAACAACCACGACAACAGCAGCACCCACAAGTCACAAGAACGTGCGTGAGCCAGCAGGTCCACCCACATGCAGCCTCTCCTCCCCAACTCCCTTTCTCTCCACGTACCCCAATGTACTCGACTTCAAAGCGCGCGAGGTCCTGTGCCGCCAGCTGCGTCTCCCCCCGTTCGGCAAGAAACGCCACGAGCTCTGCTGCCTTTGGCGGGTGCACTTCTTCAATCTTGGCCGCCATAAAGACGCAGACGAGGCCCAACACGCGCAGCTGCTTCTGCACGTGCTGCACGTCGCTGCGCCACGTGGCGGCCGCCATCTCCTGCAGCGCTGCCGCCCGACGGCGCAGCAGCACTTGCGCGTACTGGTTGGCAAAGTGCGCCGTCTGCCGCTGCAGCGCAAAGTGCGCCGTCGTGTCGACGATCCAGCGCCACGTAAAGCCAAAGTGCTCGTAGGTCGGGGCCTCGAGACGGAGCGGGAGGGGCAGGTGACGGTCCGCCCCCAGCGGCGACGACAGCGCCTTCCGCGGCGCTGCGGCCGAGCGGCCGTCGAGCGCGAGGCGGTGGTAGCACATCTCCTTCTGGCGCATGCTCAGCACCGTCATGAGGTCGGGGTTCATGGTGGCGACGAACGGGTCCGTCTGCCTCGCGCGCTCTTTGCGCTTTGCGCTCGGGCTGTCGCGTGCGCCTGATCCGCGTCGCTGTTCCACACGGCCGCACACGCGCGTCCCCCTTGGCGTCCCCCCGTCACGTCCGCACTCGCGCGTCCAGAGGCCGCTGCTGCTGCTGCTGCCACGGAAGAAAGCCAGCGAGAACGTCCGTGCTAAGTACGACTGCGTGCGACACGCGCCACCCCCAACAACAGATCCCGAGTGCGGGGGCCGTGCGACATGTATTTCTATATATATATGTGGGGGGGGGGTATGTGTACATATATATATATATATGTGGGGGGGGTATGTGTGTGGGTTGCGGACCCGTTTGGGCCGTGGCGGGTGAGTTTCTGTGCGGTCGGCGGTTTTATTCACTTGACAGGTGTGGGTAGAGGAGGAGGAGGCGATCGATCGATCGATTGAGAGGGGATATGGGTCGGTTAATTGGTTGGTTAATTGGGTGGACGAGGGGTCTGCGTGTGCGTGTGTGTGTGTCTTTCCAGCCGAAGGCAGCCGATGTGGGCGCATCAATCGACGGCCGAGAGGTCGCTGCTTCGGCTGGCATCGCTGCAGCTGCGACGGTCGTTGAAAGGGTTGCGTTACCTTAGGCTTCGCGCGAGTTGGCACGCGCTCGTTACTTTTTCGTTCCCTCGATCCGAGCAGCAGCTCGTCGGCGAAAGAGGTCCTTCAACTGCCAACGGGAGCAGGGCTAACGTCCTCGCCACCTATAACGGCTGCGTCAACTCTTTCTGCGTTGCATGGCTTGTTGCACCTCTGCTTTCGCTTTTCGACTGGTACATGTCATGTGATGAAGTACTACGTCCTGGGGCATCGCAGAGGCTGTAATGCAGCTTGTGCTTCGTCACGTCAGATGCTCAGACACGCGCGCCTTTTCTTCGCTTCCAGACTACATTGCCGATTGTGCTGCTTTGCCTCCTGGTAAGCTGAACAGACAAAGGCCTTCTCTCGCTGGCAGCCGGTGTCCGACTTCCGCGACATTTCGGGGAACGGAGTGCACTCGGATCAAAGACTTGCCGTTCCGTGCAAACGTATGCCAAGCGGTTCTCAAGACCCCGCGCAGTTTCTGCGAGAAAGAAAGCGACCGACATCGATGGCGAGCCACTGTGATCCATACACGCAGCTTCGTTGTCCCGAATCTCAACCCTATCGACCCTCTTCGCAGCCACGAAACCAGACTCGTGTCAGCAACCCGACGCATCTCTGGTCGGCGCAGTGCTGTGTCAGACCTTTTCCGAAATCTGGTCCGGCACAGTGTGGCCATCTACTGGACAACAGCCTCCGCGTGCGGCGGGTGCCTTCCGTTCGATGTTAGCTGTTCGATTATCTGCATTCTTCCGTCAAGGGAACTAGATTGTTGAAGGAGAGATCCAGCCTTCTCTGGCACGCTCGCTCGCTCGATCAGGCCAATCCTCTGAGCGTTGCAGTCTCGACATGTCCATGATTTCAGAACTTGTCGGTAGGTGGCTTCGGATGTGCATCGAAGGCGCTACACTGCGCACTGTAACGAACGAAGCAGCTGACCCCTTCCTCAAATTTGGGAGCTTTGACCCAGGAACGAGCGGAATATTCAGATGAGATTGTCTGCTTTAGTGAGAACTTCCCACGACAACTCGAAGACGTCTGTATGGAAGTTGGCCCAAGTGTTCGACTATGACTGAAGTCTTGCCTTCCTCGCTGACTCCTTCGGCTAATCCGAGATGTCGAGCTTCACGAGGGCCATCTGCAAAGGGCACGTGCGACCGGCAAACAAGCTCGGAGTGCATGCAGAGGGCAGAGACGTGTGCATGGAAGATCACGTTCCGTTTAGGACAGTCCCCTTGGCGGGCTATCTTGACTCGTACCCGGTATGTGTCGCTCTGGCACTGGATCGACCGGACAGCATCACATTCTGGGCGAGTTGTCGTGATGGGACCGCGACTCGCTCTCGGCGGACGGGTCGGCGACTTGACGGCGGATGAGAAGTGCAAGAACTTGTTGGTGCCTGGGCGCCGAAGTGTGTATGATACTCTGCCGACGTGCCCCACCCTTCGATTGGTCTGACCTGCTTCTCCTCTTCCGTTCGCACGTTGCCGCTGCCTCCTGTTGTCCACGCGGTAGCGAGAAGACGTAGTCTCTGACCTGGTCCCCCATAACGAGGGACTTTGCAGCCAAGGAAGGGGACGGGAACACTGGTAAAGTCTTCGCCGCTTGGTCGTTATTGGCTTTTGCTCACATTTTTCTTGCAACGTAAGTGAAACGAGCTTAGGCGCATCCGTCCATCGATTGACAAGCTGCTGATGTTTCGATGCCTTTGGATGTACGACGAGGATCGAGGCGCCTATGGGGCTGCAGCCCGAATCATGATGATGCAGAAACTACATGTGTCGCAGTTGTATGGCTTTGCACGGCCGGCGCTTACCGTAAGCACACAAGGTAATGCCGTCTGATGTAGCAACTTGATGCGGTTGACGAGTAGTAGTTGTTGTTGTTGAAAGTGAGGTACATTGAGGAACGATTGCGACCAGCAACACCCTTGCCAGATAGTCCAAAGTGTCCGATGGAGCTACGTAGAGTAGCCTACAGTGTGACGAGACGACCAGCTCTTCGTCTGGCGTCCAGCTGACGACGTAGTGAAGTTCGGTCGAGGGCGGTAGGCGAGCGAACGGCAGGTCGGTTGTCTGGATCCCGCGCGGTACGATATAGAGCAGCTAGTTGCGGTTTGCGAGGCGGCCGGTGTAATCTCTGCGAAGCAATCATAGCGCTGTCTCGAGTCACATGCAAATGCGTACATCCGGTGTTTCTTGCCTCTCGCAAACCGAGAACCAGACCACAGTGCGCAGCCGCGCTATCGTCGTCAGGGGCGAGCCACGGACCATCCTAGCGAACCACACGGCACTTGCAGCATGTGACTGGGTCGATATTCGGACGATGACAGACCCGGTTCTTACCAGGCCCGAGGTTGTTGCGCAGTCGTCCATTGACGAAAGAAGGGATTGATTCGTGGGCAGCCGCTGCACATCCGGTTGTCGCAAAGGCGGCATGACAAAATGTTGCGAACAATGTCGTAAGCAGTACCAGCGGGCTGGCGAGTGGAGCCACGGAATCGAGCATCCGCAAGTCGAAAAGCGTCCTGGAGAGTCATTTGGTGGCTCGTGAGTGCGCTCAGCATTGGCTGATGAGCTTTTGCAACACATTGAGCCTCCATTCCTGCTGCCACGTGCTCTACCACCCTCGGCAACGGACCTGTTTTTGCGATTCTCCGACGGTTGCTCACGGGGAAACCCCGGTCCAGGAGGCTCAGGCTCCGTTATTGTACGTGTTCAACCATAGACACATGCCGCTACATTCGTCTGGATGGCTAGTATCTCTCTTGAAGCGAAGACGACGACAAGCATTTCTGCCGCATATACCGGTCTTATTCATGGACTGCGGCAGGCGAAACACAGCAAATTTCTACCGCTGCATGTCATCGGGGACAGTGTACTGGTAATCAACCAACTCCGGGGTAATCGCTCCCCTCTCGAGCCGCACCTCGCCGCATTGTACCGAAAGCGCGAGCTCTTGCTGACGATGTCTCAGTCGCCAGCTGGGCTCCCCATATCCGAGAATATAATAGGATGGCTGACCTTGCAGCGAGCATTGCGATGCATACCAAGGCAGCTCTTCAGGTTCACATACGCACACCTGTAGATAGAAGCGCCGTGTCGGACATCGCACGTCACGTCCAGCACGACGTCAACCACTGGCTCGAGACATTGGCCGAATTTAACAGTGGATCGACGCCTTGCAACAAGCAGACTGTCCGCAAGAGGGCATTGCCAGCACAAGAAATGATGGCCAGGAGAACCGCTCTTCACGCGGTGGCGCCCTCATTCACCATCGATAGCAACCCCGGATAGTCAACTCTCTCTGGCACGGGTATTGTTGGTCGATAACGTTCCTCAATATACCTTACCTCCAACAACAACATTTGGTGGCTCGCATCAGGTGATGTTGAATCATCCATTCGACGCAGCCGCTTTAGCGAAATGTCATGAAGTGTTATCGATGCAATGAGCGCCATGGGTCGTTCGCAGCCTCAAACACAACTTCGCGAGCTTCAAGTGTCCGCTAGCACGACTGTAGAGCAGTTTGTGCAATATCCCAGGCACGTCCAGGAGTTTGGGGAAGTTCGAGCGAGGCTAACGAAGAGTAACGTGGCTACTTCTACATCGGCCTTGCTAGAAACCGATAAATGGCTTGACAGAGGACCGCACGCAATGTGAATTGAGGTAACTACGCTATCTGGCACACCAATATGCCATCCGTATGCCTGAACCGTTTTGCAGATTGCTTGCGTTTGAAAAACGAATCGTTGTATCTTCCAAGCCGGGACAGTGATACGATATCCTGTCGGCAGCTTGTCGAGTCGTACAGCTGCAATCTTATGAAATGACACCATCGACGATTCGTAGCTTTCACGAATATTATACCCCTCTCACCACCAGCATCATCACCGCCACCACGTCCATCGCCAATCGGCTTGGATGGCTCTAGAAGCACTTTTATCACTCGTTCTGTCGTGGTGGCAGCAAGTTGCAGTTGTCACTTGTTCGTCGAATGCGAATGGCAGTGTTCGTGTGCGTAGTGATACCCTCTGGGCTTGATATGTCCATCTGTGAAGGGTACAGTTGCAGATACAACGGTAGCAATGTGATGCCAAATACTCGGCGGATCAAGTGTCGATCACCACCGGAGATCAGGAAAGACGTTGGTGCTTCCTCGATTGATTCTGCATGGACTAATTGGATCATACGATGCGTGAAGATACAGCTAGAGCCGTGCTGCGTGTTGCCGACACGAACGTCACCGACGCTCAGACTCGAGCTGCAAGCAAAGTGCGTCGTGATGCTTCAGACCACATTGCTACTTATGCTACAGAGCATAGCGCATCATCTCATACAGAGCCACGAGGGGAACGAGAGCATCGTCCGAACCGAACGGGTCAGGAAAGTGTCGCGCTATGCGACGGGGTCTCGCAGAACTGTTCCGATTTTGGTAACGTACGTGCAAGAAGAGCGTCGCATGGCGAAGATCTGTCGTTCTTCTTTTCTTCACACAAACGAAGGGCAGAGCAAATATCGGGCGACATCTCCTGAACGAGAGCTCGTGATGGAACCGCTTGGTCGTTCAGTGCTAGCTACAAATCGGCGCATGTGGTGTCTGCAAGTGTGGCTGAGAAGTTCGTGGACAAGCCACGGGTCTTGTTGTGCGGCGTTATTTTCCGTCGAGGCCGTTCCGATGTCGCTAACAAGAGGGTGGCACTACTCGTCGGCGGCCACTGTACCAGGAGCCCACACGGCATCAGGGTCGCTCACACACGGCATTGGGGTCGCGCGCGCCCTTTGGGTCCCCTCACTTCTAGCCAACAACACATGGGCAGGCAAACACGGCGTCTCCGCCAAAGATTCGATCTTATCCGACCGCAGCCTCAGGCTCTGCTGATAGTCTCTCCCGAGCTCCACGGGTCCACTATGCCGTGACAAATCGCTGGCGCGCTCATCTGGTGACGGACAAAGTGGGCCCATCCGATTGCAAGTGCTTCCGCAGCCCACAAAACTCATGTCAAGACGAACGATCAGACGGTCGTCTGCCAGATATTCCGTAGCCCACCGGACGAATATCCATCCACTGGTGCACACACACCGATGGCGTACGGGCAAAGAAAGACGCTCGGCCACCTGGCGCCCCCCCCGTCTCCACTCCGGGGACAGAGCCGGTCACGCGGTGTGTGCTCGGAACGACTGTGCGGCACCTTCGAGCGGTCGCTCCGGCCATCATCTGCTGCAAGTCGTGCCCTTGTCCGAAATGCCTCTACCTCGTCATCAACAAGCGCCAGAGACTGTCTAGTCAAGCAGTTGCTCACGCAAAAGGCGTCGCTCGCTTCAATGCGTTGCGCTTTCCATCGCTCGGTCGCTCACAGTCAAGAGGCTCGTGCGTCATGCGCGAGCGCCAATGGCTTCGACCACATCGACTCAAATTTCAAAGTGTCCGGCTTTCTCTCTTGCAAAATTTAGGCCGCAGACTTCAAGAGGTGATGCCGTCGTCTCCAGTACCAATAGACGTTTGGTCTCCTCATCTGGGAATCCGTTATGTATGTGTATGTGTGTGTGTGTATTCTGTGGGTTTCCATGTCAGTGTGCAAAGTCGACTAACAACCCGTTCGGCCGGTGGGGGCTGCAACCCACTGTCCATATCAGCCGTCTACTTCTGCCATGCGACAGCTCATGACATCCGTCCTCGAGCTTGTAGCACTAGTCCACGGTCGCCCACCCGTTGTGCGTGTGACAACATCTGATTGGGCGACAGCAGTTGTGTGGCTGTGTGTGTCTATTTGTTCGCTCCCGATCAAAGAACGACTGACACCTCTTTTGGCTCTTCCTTTGGGCTGTTTTTGTCTCTTCACTCGGCTTTTTGCCTCCCACTACGAACGCTTTGGTCGAGAAACCAAAATGAGTCGACCGCTCTTCTGTGTCGCCGGCATCGCGCTACTGGCGCTGCTCGTCGCACTCACAGCGGCCGTCCTGCGCCTCCTCCTGCTCGTCGTGCACCTCGTGACGCCGCGCTACACGCTCATGTTGGGTTCGCTGGCGTTCGCGCTCTGGTTTGGAGTCTCGCGACGCCAGCGGTGCGCCAGAGGCTTTTACTCGTGTTCGCAAGTGCCGCCGGCCGCACGAGAGGCCGACAGGCGGCAGCCAATAAACGACGAGCGGGACGAGAGGCACACAGCAAAGCGGCAACAGCAGTTGGTGGCGGCAGTGGTACCACTGGCTGAGAGGGTCATGGACCGCCTCAAGAAAGTGGCAACGACGCCACCGTCCGAGACAGAGTCGGAAGACGACGAGAACGAAGCAACGGCGGGACGGGTTTCGAGTGGCAGTGCGACGCTGGTGGCCAATGGCTCTGCTGCTCCTTCTCCTTTTTCTTCTGTTGGACAGGACAAGAGGCTGGTGGACGTGAGGACGCGTAGAGATCCGTTGGACGACGTACAACAGCAGCGACGGCCTTCGCGTCCGCGGTCCTCGTCGGCTGCCGACGACATCCGATCGAGTTTGGTGCCGGCTGGAAGCACAGATAGTTGCAGTCGAGTGGACGCCGAAGAGCTCGAGCCGAAGCGCGTAGCACTACGACGTCGAGCTGACACGAGCATGACGACGACGACCGGCAGCACGTTGAAGCAGCCCGAGCGCATGAGGCGTGCGACGTTCATGTCGAAGCAGGACCCCCACGTCGCGGCGGCCCGCAGACTCAGCTCGGACCGACTGGAGAATACACTCGGCTCGGATGGCTACTGGATTGGGGATTTCAGCATGCAGCGACGAGTGGTGTCTCGCCGCAGCTACACCACCAGTCCACGACCAACTGCGCTGTGAAGAGTGGGCGACGGACTTAAGTTATTGTTTCCAAGTCTGCAAGAAGGCTGTGTGGAATCGACTCCCAGGTACATGTACTACTACAACTACAACTACTACAACTAATCAACAAGAAGGCACTGAACCCAATCGTCCACGTGAGGGCTTCTGTCGTCCGATTCTCGATCCTCTGTTGCAGCATGTCTGTACATCCTGCCGCTGCATGAAATAGGGTCAGCATCGTGCGGTAGGACCACCGACGTGTTGGAAGTGATCGCTTGCGACGCTTTGATCTCCATCGCTTCTTCGCAAACGCTCGCTGCGCTTGGCAAGCGAGTGTGGGCACACAGCCCGAGTCCCCTCACTACTGCTCTCTTACTTGAAGAGGGTGCGAATCTCAAGGCTTGAGCTGTTATCTCCACGCCTGCAACGTATCGTTGTTCTCCTTCTCAGACCCGATCGCTGCCCCTCATCTCTCCGTGCAGCTCAGCGGCAGCGTCTTTTCTTCACTCAGAGCGCCAGAGTTTGGCCTGCATCGCTCGCCCGTCTCCTCACTTCCCGCGGTCTCGTTCTCGTGACATCTCTCCTCTGCGACTGAAAAAGTGATGGGCGAAAGCCCAAACGAAAGCCTCAGTCTCGAGCGCTGTTTCGGCGTAGCAGTGACCAGCGTACTCGTCAGCGGCGATGGGAAGATCCCCTCGAGATGCGTACTGCCCACTGGGGTCCCACAACGCATCGCAGCGGGCGATGCCGACCACCGAGGCGGCCCCCCAAAAGGCGACGCTGACTCGCTCTTGAACACGCCAGCAACACTGACCTCATGTCTCTCCGGACGTCGCGTGGAAGTAGGAGAGGGTGACAGTCGGCGGGACTCCCAGTGCGGCAGTGGACTCGGCACGACGACCGTCTCGACCTGTTGCAGTCGGTCCTGCACCCGAACGGTCTCACTGCAGCACTGACTCAACTCCGCTGGCAGCAACGGAGACGGGATCCGATTTCTCATTGTCTCTGGCTCCTTCTTCCTTTGACGCCCAGCGACTGTGTGCCTCGAAGCTCGAGCTCCGACCACTGGCGTGCGCAACACCGCGTACTGCTTCTCATCGTCAAAGAAACCGCTGCTCCCGAGCGACGTCTCCAATCGGTTGACCGACTGTCGCTGCAGACCGAGCGGCGAGAAGGCCACGGGCTGAAGCTCCGCGAGCGTATCGATGCTCCAGTTCAGTGCACAGTCGACGTCCTGCTCTCCTCTGTTGTCGTTCTCGCCCTCTTCCGTGTCGTCTACTGACGGCGCGTTCGCTAGCGCCCCGTCGAACGACGGGAAGGGGTTTCGGTCACTCGTCGAGGCGTCGAACGGGTTCCTGCGGTGCGGAACTGACTCGTCGACGATCGCGTCGGACATTGCCAAACGAAAGCTGCAGAAAGAGGCGGCGGCTCGTGTCGGTCTGTAGCTGATTGAAGAGCGCCGCAGTGTCCTGAAATGGGTACACAACACTGCAGTCGAGCGGCTGATGACTTTGCGAAGGACTGAAATGGACCGAAAGAGGTTCGATTTGGTTCTGGCGCTCGTGTACAAATCGCAAAAGACTACACAAACCCACGGGTCGAAAGCGACTTATTCAGAGCACTCTGTTGTTCCCATAAACGTATGTAGTAAAAACTCCGCTACGTCTGCCCAGTATAAAGTTGTCTGCGTGGTTATGGGGACGTAGCTTCAGGAGGGTCAAACTCTAGCGAATTCCAAACTCCACATCGCGGTTGTCAGTCGACATTACTTGCCCATGCCGGACTTAAACCCGCACCCAATTGCGCGCAATTGCCCTTACGAAGCGGTATATCACGGAAATTTCCTTTAAACGTCATGACACCTGCCAACCCCATCATCATCGATAAACAGGTCGCGCAAGGCTTGGATTCGCAGATCTCTCCTGGTCTCTTCGGCCGATACGAGGCAGTTACATAGAACCGTAAGCTTCCTTTTTCCGTACAAGTTATCGAGGAAACGCTCATTGATTACAGTAACTTTGACATCAGCAACACTCGACTCAGCAGAAGGCAGGGTATGTCTAGCCTGGAAGAGATAGCTGGCAAAGATGTTGGTGCCATGACAGTATTTTTGGGAAACAGGGCATCCAAATAGACAGGATATGACGCACGATTTGTGCCATCGACGTCGTCGGTGTTGCAAGACAACACCTCACTCGATGGAAAGCACCGGAACAAGCTCAGGAAATCTAGGAATACGAGGTCGGAAGCAAGTGATGTAACGGTGGTCAGTTGGACATGTCAACGATTATGCCCACCAGGCCTTGAGTAGATTCATTCATGGCAATTCCGAGAGCCAACTGGAGGGAGTCACGCGTGGAACACGGGCGAGTGAGTCGAGACCGGCATTTCCTTAATAAGTTCGGGATTGAGCAGGCACGAAGCTACTTCAGAAGACCGTCGGCGACCAGCATTACGGAAACCAGTTCTCAAAACCAACACTTTGTCAAGTAAAAAATAAAAACTGGACTGGTGTACACTGACGATCAGCATCGGTCGTAAACATTATTGTTCACCTGGTCTGATGGGTGGACCGGGACAATAACTTTGAGCTCTGACGAATGTGATCGGCAGTAGAATAGAAGCCCAATTATATGAGCTCTAATATTCCTCTGAGACGATGCGTGAGATCGGTCGATCTGCCCCATTAAACGAGTCCAAGAGAGTCAACACTATGATGTGAAAGCCAAATGTGAATGGTTACCGACCCCGATCGAATCGAATTGGAGATTGATGGATGGGTGAAAGTTGACTCGGTATATGTCGATATATAGATTCCAAGCCAGTAATCGTGTGACAATGAGTATGATCTCGGGACACGACGATGGTGTGACAATATACCAGTAATAACATCGATGATGAAATAATTGGTCGCATTGGTGGGATGAAAAAGATTATAAGAATGGCAATGAACGATCCAGTGGTACGGATATCGACACTGTACTATGGCGGTGTCAATATCCGTACCCCTGGATCGTTCATTACTTTGGATAAAAGGAGACATATAGATCCCTCAGGGCATTAGATGGAAGTACATCCGCGTGCAATTAAGTCTTCTAGGGATGCTCCGAATGATGAAAGTACCAAACCGTGTCCTCTGAATAGGATAAACCCGTCGAAGGATGGACCCGACCGATCCTTTCTATCTAGGGATTTGGGTATGAGATCGGTCGCTATCTAACGGAGGAATACTACGTTTCCAAGCTTGATTTCTTCCTCACGTTGTGTACCCGTTGATAGGGCGGACTGCACTCTTCTCGGTGGACTCGTACCAATGCTAAACTTGACCGTGTCTGGGACGGGGAAGATCGCAAGGAAATATTTACACGATTACAGGTCACTTGTAGGTATTATATATGAGCTGCCTGGATCTCGACGAGATCGCCTTGTAGAAAATGTAGATCTTGACCTGCTTGACCTTCTGACCATTTGAGTCATCTCAGGATCTTGATCGACCTTGCTTTCTTGCTGCGTCCTATCTCAGTTGTCATGATGTATGCGAGAGTCCTGAACATACCTTGTCAAACGATCTAGTTGCAACAATTTTGTAGAAGAACAGCGCAGCTCTTGATGTCGTCGGGAGGCACTATATAGATCCCAGAACAGATGACACGTGTCTTTTGAAGAAAAGTAAACTCTGTTTAATGTTAGCCGGTCAAATTGTATAACTTACGACCTAACCTATCGATGCAAAAGACACTCTCCACGCGCCATCTAATAAAGCAATCTGTACCTTTTACATCGTAGGGTCCTTACTTTATCCCGAACCATTACATCAGGTTAGGATCGGATCTTGGATCGGATTCGATAATCGTGATCCATCCATCCGAACTTAGTACCTAGTACGGATTCAGTACACTCCTCACACTATTCTTTGTTCCACTCATTCTCAATCTAGACATCACGCTTGTAGCTGTTTAATACAACTACCTTTGCGATGATAGTTCCGACATCTTTGATTGTAGCTTTGTTTCCACCCGCTATCTATCCTTCTCCTTCATCTTTCTCGTTGAGGACAGGTAGCTTGGACTTGTTGTGACAATTGCGATGCGTCAAACCACTGTCGATCGCCCACATTCCACACATACCTTTACCGCCGAAATCCCGCATTCCAATGAAATAGCGAGCGCCACACGATCGTATCAATAGTCTTCATCGTGGCTTTACCACTGAAGATCATTGGCTCCGCGTCCACGACCGTTATTACCGCCGCATCGAGCTCCTCGATTCTCTTCCTTCTGCTTGGTCAGCATCGCTCCGCCGCAAGTCTCCATTTTCTGCAGTACGTGCACTGGCGAGACTCACGTTCGGTACTGAAAGCCTTTACCGCGTCTTCACCGATGCTGTCCTCTCGTCTTCACTCTTGATATGATCGTTTTTCAACACCTTTACAACATCTTGCGTCCGTATCTCCGCGCTGCTCATCTCCAAGTTGAGAACGACGTCCTCGCAGCTCTTGGAAAGACTGCGAAACAAACATATCACCACGTCTTCGTACTGCATCTCAGCGCCGATGCTGCTGATCTTAACGCTGACGCTGAGAACTTCGGTGCAATGGTGCAAGACATTTGCGCCTTCCGACGACATCTCTATGCTGAACAGCCGCCTCTTGAGGCTGATACGACCAGAATTTTGCAAGCCGTTGTACAGAGTCTCCAAGCGCGCCCACACAACCCACGCTTCTTGCAGTCGTCGATCACATAGCGGTAGTCCGCGTTCATATGTAACAGCATCAATCTAAACTCGATGCTGCTGGACTCGACATAATTGTCCATGGCTCGAGGGGCCGCAAAGGTCGGGTCACTTTTCACGGTTTACGACACGCCACTTCGACTTGATTCGGAAAACGTCACGCATTTAGCGGCATCATGTAGCGTAGTTGTCACCGTTGAAATTATCGGTAGAGACTTTGTAGGATGCTTCTTGGTCAGAAATCATGGCTTTTGGCTCAATCCATATTAAGAGCTAAATGAAAGGGAAGCCTAATGCTGAAAAATAGAATGTATCAAGAAAATCGAAGAGAAAACGGTTGAGAGAAAGAAGGAGTTCTCGAAAGAAAGTATACATCGGGTACAATTCTACCTAAAACCCTGATTGATGTGTATCCACATATAAATTGTGTGCTATTGTTTACATATAAGTTATGTAGGCCATCCGAATATCCTATTCATGCTATCGATTCTTTATTAATATTGTGAGAGCTATGATGCAAATACTAAAAATTGAAGCTCGGGTTGTAGCGGATATTCTAGATAAAACCTATACTTAGCTTTACTTCAAAAAGTTGCAGCTGATATGACGGAGGTTACAGAAGAGTTTAAAATTTAAGTCATTTGTCCGATCGTGAAGGACTAGATTTGTTGCAGACTTAATAATCATACATTTAATTTGCGATAATAGCTATCAAGTTTACACGCGTTGATCTACGATACGATTAGTTTTACGTTAAAAGATTTTTTTACGAAAGCACCTTCATCATTTTTGCGCTATTGTATCCGTGCCATTTAAAAATCAAGCCTGTATGCGTGCGCATGGTCGAAGTTTGTGAGATGTAGGAAGAATTTACCACTCAGACCGTGTGCCGACGTAACGCTCGGTTATATTGCCCCTACATCGAGTCGCTTAGCAAGTACCCACTTCGATCCAGACTTGCAAGTTACTGTACGCTCTTGTTCCGAAGACATTTGACAAGTTTTTCTACCTTTAGACGAGTAATACGGACCCAACCAGCGATAGCAACGGCGGACATGGTAGTTGTGCGCGAATATACTGGAATTTGCATAAATGAACCATGTTTCGACCAACTCGAGCGCAAACTCGAGTCAATCACCGCCAAGATTTTTATGTACGCCAGTATACAAGATAATCATTTTGAACGCGACAAATTTCTTAATCGTAACGCCAGTATATACGAGGTAATAATTATGAACTTGACAATTGTTTTGATCGTTTCGGGCGATTAAAGAATCGTGATGAAGCGATATATGACTTTGTATAGTGATAGAAAGACTCGTCGTATACTTAATCGACGACTCGCAAAAAATGCTCATTTCTTTACACCGGTCGTTTTATTTATGCCAAAACATTTATTTGAGCTGTATAGATATATTGTAAGCTCATTAAGATAAGTTTATCGCCTAATATAGTCGGCTGGTTGTGCTGTTACGTGAGCATAAGGTAATATATCTTTACGGTTCGCCCGTTCAAGTTAAGTTGTGTCTATTGCTTAACCGATATATCACACACAAAATATTTAGAATCCTGTCTGATCTCAGCAGCCAACAAAGTTATAATTTTTGTTATTTCACACCAATGGGCAGAAGTCGACGCTTTACGCATTCTTACAGGTCACCGAGT